TGTAAAACCAATACATTCTTCGTTTTATTCAGAATCTAAAAATATGGTTTTTTCACATACCATAATTAATAATCATTTTTTTTATATTTGACTTACACACACACTTACATAATTTTATATAATAATAATATATCTCAGAAGTTTTAATAATTATACTCTATACTCAATACCAGCATTTCGATTACTGTACACAGGTTTCTCACGTAGGTACTCGTTATTTAAATTCTCTAAACTCAAAAGAGTTAGAACATTATTATTTATTTTCATTAAACCAAATAATATAATATGTGTAAGGGATGATTGAGACTCGGGACGCCGTATTGTAAGTATTAGTTGATCATTAGTGTTTATATTAAAGGGTGTGGGTGCTAGCACACTTCCTTATAGGATGCCGTTTTTTCTCCACTTGCTTATCTACCAAGACCATACAATAATAATTATTAAAAAGGATTTCTTGTTTTCCGACCATTTCACCGCCAGTCATTTAACAGTAGTTTTGAACGTAGGAAGGGTGAACGGGAGTTGAGGTCAATATTTTTTTTACCAAACTAATGTACTTATTTATGTTGAGAATGATGGTGTGCAATCTAAATTGAGCGGTCAAACTTAATTTTCGAGTTATAATTCTTTAAAATCACTATAGGTACATACGTGCCATGTTAAATCACTCAATATTGCATTTTTTATTTATCGGTTTTTTTAATCTAGTGGTGATGCATACTTGTTGTCTATTTAGAGATGCCCCTTAACAAATTCATTTATGAAACTTTTACTTAGCATTTTTTAACGTTTTTAATATTTAAGGTCATTTTTTGGACTTCTTAGCTTGAACTCTTAGCAACATAGGATCGATCACATTCTACTCCAAGAATTCAGTAAGACTGAGCTTGGTGATCCACTATTGACTTGGCTCGAATCATATCTATATGGCAGATATCAACGGATGAAAATTAATGTATGCAAATCTGATGTCTCTTTTATTACTTCAGGTGTTCCTCAAGGAGTCCACCTGTCACCTATACTATTTGCACTCTTTATCAACGGTATCAAGCAAATAATTCCTAATTGCAATATTATAGCTTTTTCAGACGACCTAAAAATTTTCCGCCGAATTACCAACGACTCCAACTCAGAACATTTCTCCAGCCCCTCTCCCCTCAAAATTTTTTTTGAATTTGTCCAAAACCATTATCGCACAAATTCTGAAAATGTTTTCACAAATTCACACAAATTCCATAATAATTAATGGCAAAAAAAAAAAAAGATTTTCCAACTTGGGGGGGCCTGGTGAAATGTACGTGTTTTCTACTAAGTTTTTCCGTCTATCACGATCTTAAGAATTTTCTATTTTTATCGACTCGCCGATATCCAATATAATTATGATGACCAGATATAAAAATCCAAAAAAGTACATTTTAAAATATATGTTTTCCATTATAAAAAATACCCTTCCATTGAAAAAATTGGCCAATGCATATACTATTCTAACTATTTTGCCTATAGCTCATCTCCATCTATATACTTTTTTTTTTATCTAATACTCTATTATCAACTTTAAAAACTAATTATTTAAAACCATAATGTCAACTCATTTGATTTATATCTTTATGATGAAAACACTCTGAAATTTAAGTAATTTTAAGTAAACTAAAAGTATACATGTATAACTAAATTATACATATTTAAATTAATGTTTAAAAGGAAAAATTTTAATAAATAAATACAACTGTTGTCAGTCACTTACAGACGTTTGGAATGCATTAGGTAGAATCATAAAATATACAAATATAAACGAATAATCAAATTATATAAAACCATAAATATGTATTAACCCATATCTTCAAAAAAAAAAGTACAATTTCATGTAATTAACACTATTGTTAGGGACATAAGACAATGCATCAACAATGAGTACGTCTGGTCCCCATAGATACAATATCTTTTCTCATTCTATATCCATACCTACCGCTTTTTTTGTTTGATTTCTAACCTGGACATTTCTTACGAGATTTCCGCCAGTCTTGTCAAATCGTTTTGACACGTAACCAAAACTTACGTCGATACCTATAAGATACATCATACATACTTTTAAATAAATCGTTCCGAAAGAATTTGTTTTTAATAAAAATAGTTAATTATTTATAAACGTTCGATTTCCTATTAGGTTTTTCTAATACATCTTTAAAAATATTGAATCGAACTATCAGTGCAAGAGGCCATACATCGAACATTTTTAATTTTCAAATATTGGTGTCTGAATTCGTATTATTTTTTTTTATTTTTTTTTATGGCATTTCGGTCTACGTAAATATATTATTAAATTGCCAACAATTGACGAAATAAATTTGTTATATTAATCAAATGCATAGGTAGCTGAAACCAATAAAGTTGTAAAACCAAATGCAGTCCTCTTGCATTAAATAAATATGAATATTTACTTGATAACGTAAATGGACGTCGTTAACAATTTGGTCACATTACGAAACACCAACTTCTTGCATTTAAATATTAACAAATTCGCGAGTTAAAAAATGTTGTCCAAAAAAATTAACAAATTTTGATATACAGCTCTCTTGCATTGATAATGCAAAATACAAAATTTAACAAAAACATTCTTCGATTTTACTGAATTCTGAATGAGCTAAATCGTGGACATAACCGACGAGAGACTAATTTATAGACTTAGGTAAGGAAAAATTAAAATGTACGATTTTCACTCATAAACAATTGTTTCAACTGATAACAATCCAAAAAAAATCGAATGGTATTCACATGGTTCCGAGACTGTTTATAAATTATTGAGCTTAAATCGACTTTGAGATATTTTTCTAGAACACATGTTGAACTTTATCAATTCAGGATAATTATAATAATAAATTATTATTGTTATTATTTATGCAATTTTTTGTTTTATCACGTCACTTTTCCAATAAATCAATTACATTATTAGACTGTTTACGCGTAAATCGTGTACACTATAATAGTGCAATAACTTTTTTTACAAGATAAAGTATTAAATAATTAAATTACTATAAAACTATAGGAAATTTATAAATATAGTAATGTTGGTTTTTTAACGTGAATGTCCCCATCTCCGCTCTTTTAACTTTTTCTAATTTTTTTTTTACACGATAATTTTAGCACCTATTTATTAAGTATTTGCAAACCCATCTCCAACATTTTCTAAGCATTATTTACGCTTTAAAATGCAACTTTTCGAAAATGTTGGAAATGGGCTTATAAAATGTGCTTGCTAATTGGCTGATAAGATGATATTGGAGTTTGTATTACTAAGCTGTACATGTGACATGGGTGGATTCGGATAAATATGTCTTTAGCCCCACCCCTGGTAAACTTAGCTTGCTTTTTAAACAAAATTTTTGCAAATTATGAAATTATAATAGCAAATGCTTGCTAGTTGGCTGCTAAATGTTGGCGTAAAAAAAAATTATAAAATTGTAAAAGGGTGCGACTGAGGACATGCACGTGGGTTTTTTTTCTGAAAAATATTAAGACCTGGCCGATACCGATATTAGTACTACCGATTTATTGGATATCGGGTTTTTTTTTCAAACCGATAATAACATCGATACATAATGTAAAATCAATTCGCATATCAATTTGTATGTAATGTTGATGTTTATAGCGTAATGCTACAGACACTCCGAACAAACTTCCAAAAAACTACGATTCAGATAGGTTTATATATCAATTATCGGTATATTCGAAAAAATATAAATCTGCTTATTGGATTCAAAAACATAAAATGTCGGATCGGTTATCGGTTTTACATAGTCACATATTATAGGCAACATACATTGGAAAATCGAATATCAAATTGAAAAATATTCAGCTATCTCATAGATAAACACTGTAGGTATTAAAGGTTTCACTGTCATATTTTATTGTATTTTAGGGATTATACAAATTAAACAAATTCAACAAGGTTCAACTCACACTATGGCCAAAAGCGCTTTTAATATTTATTATCTCGTTTTTTTTTATCTATAAACTTATAAATTGAATTAGAGATTGTGTGTACTACCGATTTTTATAGTAGGCACTACCGAATTGACAAAGTGGGCTTATACCGACTAACTATAATCGAATAGGAACACGCATATGTTACTAAACCGATTTTACACTTATGGGACATAAAACAATAAAAAAAATGTAAAACCTAAATAAAATAATTAATGTTTACTAGCTAATGTATACCATTGAAAAATAAAGATGTCCTCCACGTACTTAAATGTCTTTCAAGGAAAAAAATGATAACGTACGATTGTTGTGACTGATGTTTAATAATGTTATCATGTCAATTAAAAGAAATCGATCATCTTATATCGAGAAATAAAATGTAGGACATCGGTTGGCCAGCCGATTGTGCATGATTACATGATTCATACATAATATACGGTTAAAATTATTATAACGCCGTTTCATCGATTTTATTTTATTTATTTTGTTTGTACGTTTATTTTATTAGGCTTTTTTTGGATCCGGCTTTCAAATTACCACTTCGAGTTAGGTAGAGAAGACGATTTTACTTTTTATTCATGATTTTTATTTGTTACATCCCCTCCCATTGAAAATTCCTGAGCACGCCACTGCCTACCATGGGTGTTTACCACAAATAATGACTAATATATATCGGTTAATGATAGGTATCAATATAATTGTCTTTTATTGATGTTTGAAGTAGCCAAAAGGCAATTGATATTGTTGCTACTATACTTATGTTTTTAGAACAATCAAATATGAAAGATTTTAAAATAATAGCTCAATCATATGATGGGGCTAGTGTTATGTCGGGTCAGCATGGTAGTGTGCAAACTTTAATGAAAAAGTATTATCCTTGTGCCTTTTATGTGCATTGTATGGCCCATCCGTTGAATTTGATTGTAATAGATACTTGTAACAATGTAATGGTAAGTAAAGTTATTTCTTAATAAAACTTTAAAAATTTAATTTGCATGGCATTGTAGAATGCAAGAACCATGTTTAATGTATTGGAATCAATTTATACACATTTTTCTCTTCCTAAAAAAAATAAAATATTAGATGAATTTCAAATGAATCTTGGTCTTTCAGAACGATCTATAAGTAAAATTTGTGATACACGATGGATATGCAGATATAAAACCTGCAATGCTATAAAAACAAATTTTAAAGCAATAGTTAGGGCATTACGATTTGAAAATAATGAGTCGGCAGATAAAGATGCTACTCAATATATAAGTATGAACATTTCTTAAACTATTTAAATACCTATAAATATATATTATACTTTAAGAAAAAGCTTTGGTATACTTTAATATGTCTATGTATTATTTATATTAAGTATTAATTACTTTTGAAACAGTTATAGATATATTAAGCTCAATCGAAAAAGCATCATTTGTAGTTCATATGTTTGTACTGAATGATGTTTTAATTATAATATATATTTTAAGTAATCAACTACAGAAAAAAACAGAACCATTGGGTAATGAAGCTAATTTGATAAATGGAGTTATCACGTCCTTTGAAAACAATAGATCTGATGAATATGTTTCAATATTATAGCAAAAAATAGAAGTATTTTTCAACGATAATGAAATATCACTAAATGTTCCCTCAAAAAGTTGGTATAAAATTAGTAACCAGTATCATCAGGAAAATAATTTAAGTTGTATTTATTAGGTAAATTAAATTATTATTTATTTAGTTTATTAATTATTTTTATTAAGTTCTAAACGTACAAGAAAACAGCCAAATAGGTATGAGGACTTTCTTGTGTTAAAGAGAACCGGAGAAGAAAATGAAGAATGTAGCATTACAACAGACGAAGTGTACTGACGTAGAGTGGGCTTACTACAGGATTATGGACACAATAATTATTAATCTTAAAAGCGGATCTTCAATTGAAAGCTTATTATTTTTAAGATTATTCTCTCAGAATGGATTTAAAAATATATTGATATGCACGTACAGTTGGGTAACAATGATTTTTGGCGGAAACCGGCCATGACCATATCTAATACTACTAATAATATTATTATAATACTACTATTATACGATTATGATATATGTTTGTTATTTTTTTCGTACGCGAACAACAATTCTACCGGAGATTTTCAGTAAAAATCGCTGTCTCGTTAGTGTTATGAGGAGGTTATTTTTTGCTTTTCTTTTTTTACTATTCTTACTATTCTTCAATATGGGGAATACTCTACATTTACACAGTATTAGTTTCCGTTACATTCTATTTTGTTTGTTCAGTGAAAAATAATTAATCGTGGAGGCCGGACATTTTAATGAATACTTATAGTAAACAGTCTCTTATATATAAATCGTTCAAATCAATTTGAAAAATTATACTTCGGTTATAAACATTTGAAATGTTTTAATTTTTATGAATTTCATTTGGTCTATATGATTCAAATTGTATTGATAAGTTGCAATTAGTGGGGAAAAAATTTCAACGTAATGTAGAAATAATTTTTGTCAAGCGCTTTAAATTCAAATTTTAATGAAAATGCATTTTAAAAAAAATATAAAATATGCGCCGTCCCATCAGTAGTAGATCTTTGGGGTTTTTCAAGGGGGAAGTGAATTTTATTTAAATATATATATATTATGTTATCAGCAAGTGTAGAATGTAATAATTATGTAAAAATGCAATAGTTTCATTAACTAATATTAAATAACTATTTGCTACGAATCCTAAAAGAAAATAAAAACAATTAAAAATCGGAACGACAGTAGGAGAACACGTGAAACGATAAACAACAGTGATTTACTTATATTTTATACTTTAAATATCAAACAAATCAATCATTAAGATAATCAATCTATAGCGAACAAATATAATTACGTATTAAAATAATAATTGCGGGAATCTAGAAAATGTACATTTAATACAACATTTACATATAATCACTGTAAGAAAAAAAATGTAAAATAAAAAAATTCAAAGTTGAATAGTTTGACATACTTATACTTCAACTTAGTTTCCATTCATCAAAACGCATTTACAATGAATTCAGTTCACGATGTACATAAATAATATTACATATATAATATACAAGAACCTAATAAAATGTGATGAATCAGACGTATCAACAAAATTTATAAATTTTCAGATATGTCTGTTAAATTATATAATATTTGTTAACCTAACCTAGGCGAAGAATTCGCATTTTCTTTTATATCCTTCAAAGTTAAATTCGAATGTGCTCGAGCCTTAAGCACATACATTGACAATAAAAAAACATAAAACGAATAATTAATTATAAGATCATAAGATTGGTTCGTTTCGGTTTTCTTCGTCTCTTTTTGCTTGTTGTTTAATACCTTCCAAACTGTGTCGAATTCCGTAAAATGCATACACCAAAAGACCTATAAAAGTTTAGAAATTCGTTAATAAACTTATAAATATTATGTTTTACTATAATTAGATACAACTATTACATATTTAGGTTTTTCAAGAACAAAAATTACAGTTAGTTTAATGTTTAATGTTTTCAATCGATTTTTAGACAAAACTAATACTAAACTTTAAATTAATAATAATAAGAAAAAAAGTTGATCGACAAATTCGTCCATTTTTTTTTATAATAAATATGCATTAAAAAAAAAAAAAAAACAGAAATATATCAGATCTTTTTTATCTGTTGTATTTTAATTTTTCAGATTGGTTTTACGATGTTTTATTATTATTTTTTCTCTGTGTATCTGCAAACAATTTTTCTGCCTGAAATCTGGCTTCAATCAAAAACTTTGTAAGAACTTTCTTTTAGCATTTTCGATTTATTTAGGCGTATTCAATAGATGATGTTTTTTTTTTTCTTTGTCGTTTTCCGTTACCTAGCAATGGCTTATTTATGCGTACAGATATAAATTCAATTACTCTATATATCCTCCATTTCAACTTTCCACTAAAAACAGTGGCATCGCCCATCAGTAGTATCATTCTTTGTATTTAATTAACCTAGGATAATTATTATCGAAGGGGAGAACTTACAGTATTGGAATACTATATTAGCTTTTAAATAAAAACTGCCTAGGATCACATAAACAACTCATATAATACTGATTTATTACTACAAAACAAATATATAATATTATCATTATCTTCGTAATATTGTACTACCTACATTAACACATGTTATTAAATTACTAATCGTTGTATACTACTTTAATTTCAAAACAAAAAAATAAAAATAAACCACGAAAATTACAATCACTGTGAAAGAGCAGCCAGTGAAAAATGTGGTAATATGCTGAAATCATGTATTAGAAATCTATGAGATGACGGTCGTAGGACGACGAGCCATGGCGAAGGTGGCTACAGTTAGTCGTCGGCCCTCATGAACTCCTGGTACCGATTTCGACCACCAAAAACTGAATACTACAACACATAACGACATAACATAACGACGACACCACCTAACCGAGTCCTCTCTTAACCCTTCTCTATCTAATAGTTGTGTTACAGAACTTAATTTATTTCGGTTAGGTCAACAATTTCAGGATTCTACAAATATTTCTCACTAAATTGTAAAATAAAAAAAACAAAACGAACCCGAAAATAACAGAAAACGTTATTGTGTATAATTTTTCCAACGTTTTTTTACCATTATTTTAGAAAACTTAAAAGAATATCGAAAATTTCATTAACTAGATAAAATGTTCTACTAAAAACCACTACTGAAGTTGGTAATCGGATTTCTGGTGAAAAGTTTTTAACAGACACAAAAAATGTTGATACATACCCATAGGAAAACGTTCGGCATCTAAAAATAATTATTATTTTATGTTAAGTAATTATCAATTAACATAAGTAATTAAATCAATGACATTTTTATACATTTAATTTGACCCTGACTTAATTTATAAAACAACCAATTATTAACTTGTTAACATTTTATAATTAACTTAACTGAATTAATACTAATCATTATTTTTCTCAACCTTAGATTTATTCATAAAACAAATTATTATTGATACGAATAGTAATACAAACCTATAACTTGACATACACTGAATCTTAACCAAGTTCTGAAACTCAGCTCCACCATTAAGTATAAGTTAAGGACTATGCTCACGCAGGGTACAAAAGGAACTAAAGGTACCTATAAAAAACAAATACACATTATAATATTACAAAATAATATCCAAAGTTATGTACAAGTGCCGATCCAAAAAACACAAAGGGAGGAGCTATATTATAATTTTCAAAAGTTATACTTATTAGATAATTTTTAAGATTTTTAAATATATAATAAATAGTAATTACAGCCCAAGAAGGAGGAGGCTAAAGCCCCTTATCCCCTTAGATTCGTGCATGGTAATATTTAATGTAAATATAGAAAGAAACGGACATACTTCATATGATGGTTGGGTCACTGTTGTAGGTGAGAAATTGGAAAGGTAGAGGGGAAATTTAATATATATTTATATTTGATGATCAGTCATTACTAATGGAAAACGATTCTGAATTTCTGAATCCAAGTTTGATTAAACATATTTTGAAAGGCCACAACATTTATAATTTTAAAATAATTAATTTCGTAAATTTTCCCGTTTTTTCTAAGCTTTTTCCCAATTATTATGAAAACCGTTTGGAAAATAAAAAAATTCCCTTCTTAAAGTACAACCCAGAAAAAATTTAATTTTTGAAAAGGCGCTACGCTTGAAAATCAAATCAAAATTTTTACGGAAAATTAATTATAATAACATCATTATAAAACCTGCAATGCATCCTTCGCTCCGCTCAGAATCTAAAATCACAAGTAGTTCTCTCGCTTAAGGATTTTTGCTCTGTCATTGCGAAAATGTTTAGTTTTTTAGAAAACAAATATTTCTTACCTTGAACGGTAAATTTTCGATTGTTTGCGGGAGTCTGGTCAACATTAACATAGTAAGCAATAAGCTCACGACCGAAATACAAATTACGATACTCAGCGCATACTGAAGCGCTCCTTGAAAATATTTCCAATGAGCCACGCTGGTACAAAACAAATTCGCAGAAACAGCTGTAAACATTATTCCCCAATCGATTAAGGTGAATGTATCCCGGACAAATGTTATGGGTTTTAATACAAAATTAAAAAGATGCAATATAAACCAAGATCAATTAATATAATACACAAATATTTTCATAACAACTTATAAATAAACCGTATTAAAAATGCGTTACACCTTCTCCTCCATTTATTGTAAGACATAGCAAATTGTTGTTCGGTAGAATCGATTTTGCGCCGTTAATTATTATTATTATCACTATTATTATTAAATTTAAAGACAACACAATATTATCCGTTCCGTTTATACGTTGGTGTTTTTGACGTTTTAATTTTCAAACAAGATTATAAACATTTTTAAATATTGTGTTATTCCACAAACTTATGTCTGGCTTGAATTTTAAACTATCGAAAAAAACCAACGTACAAACATACGAATAGTTAATATTTTGGTACCTTTAAATTTCACAATGAGTCAATTCACTCTAATATCAAGACAAACAACACAAAATTAGTTTCGCTGAAAGTGAATTATCAACTTTAGTCAACAAATAAAAGTGTAAAGTTTTCATAATATTACAATAATAACGTACAAAAAACGAGTATCAGTACTCTCGATATGTATTGAGTATCTACGTTTGGAGTTTTCGCATTCAACAAATTCAACCAAGTAGAAAAGTTATATTTTCCGTCCGAATCAACAGTAACGTCCCGACTACACAAATTATTCGCATCTGTGTATCTGAAAAATGAAAATAAAATTATACGGAGTTCAACGTATTGTTGTTTGTAATTTTTTTTTTTTTTTACAGCGTTTTGATTCGACAAAAAAGTGCGCATTGGGGGTTCTACTACAACTACACGAGTTTTGTACTGACAGATGCACGCCAGTGTTGTGAAATCGAATACCAAAAATATGATTTTAGTAAAACAAAATGTGATAAAATGGAGAAATTCGAATTATTTACTGGCGTATGAATTTAAATTATCGGCGTCTGATAGCCGCATATAATAAATTGACAATTGACAATTATTGGTTTTTGGAGAGTTTGGTCCCAGTGATGAAGTCAATTTTGTAGTTTTCAAAGGAAATTAAATTTTTGAAAATAATTGAATAGCAAAATGGATTAACTACTAAACGGCTTAATGGCTAAACAGTTTAACATAAACGACCGTTCTAAATGGCTTAATTTATCTGTGTTTTATAATTGTAAAATTACAATTACAAATGTCTTATAATTATACGACGTAATATGCGATACGCCTTTTTCACCAGACAAAAAGTACACCGGTGATACAGTGATATTTTCATTTTCAATATTATAGCATCATGTGTTAAAACATACGAATGGGATTTAGAATCTTAATCGTATTGATCAAAATAGTCTTATGGTAAATAATTTATCATTATGATATGTATACACATCGTTTTACTTTAAAAAATCTCCTCGTCGTATCATTTTGGCTTAATGCGATTATTTTGGAATATGCATAATGCATAGTATGTTAAACGGTATCTATGTCTTATTATGCAAATTTAATAAAAGCAAAATAGTTTTTGTTGTTTCTCATAAAAACTAGTTGATATTGTACATAGTAGATATGTTTCTTTTAACGAAGAATCATACCTACTATATACTTAGGCATATACATACGTATAATAACAAGAACAACGAATAAAGACAACAAAACTATATTATACACGACTTTTTTTTTAAAAAAATATTAATATATTTTAGGTGGCACATAATTGTTAATAATTTTATTTTTGAAATTCGATTTGTATTCTTGTAAAAGTTCTTGATATTCCCGAATCCCCATACGCCATCAATATTGTGTTCAATATGATATTTTTATTATCATACGGCTAACATTAGCACGTATACTGAGCTGTTCCGTTGTACGATTTTACTCCCACTATCGCGGTATTTGACTGTTATCAGTTATAATATGTTAAAATCGGTTCAAGACCAGGTGACTAAGGTCAGGGTGAATTAAATAATTCAGGCTCACGGACATTTAATTATTATTTAATCGCGTAACTTATTCGTTATTAATATGTAGACCTCGGAATAATCTGACGGAAAATAGAAAAAAATCTTCTATATTATATACTAGCAAATTAATATAACCGTTTCCTTCCACCGCACACCGTTTTGCTTTCATGGTCAACAATAAAACAATGAAACTGGTTATACGAATATTTTGATTTCGTGCGCAAGCACCTATATAAAAGACCCTGAAAAATTACCATCACGCTCGAAAAAATATTTTAAATTTATATCATATTTTTAATGAACTACATATCAAACGGTTTTCAACGATAAACTATAATAACTATTTACACCAATCGTTTTATAGTAATTACAATTTCGAAAATGACTTATATTTAAATCATTACGATAGTAACAGACCGGAAAGTATTCGTGTTTCTTACAGCATTAAAATTCCGATAAACTGAAAATGAAAAAAAAAAGCTGATACTGGATATGGGAGTGACCCTGTTGTAGGCGAAAAGTTGGGAAATTAGGATACACAAGGTTATTTAATTTATATCTGAAAGCAACGATAAACCATTGCTGACGAAAGACGACTCCGAGCGCAGTTCGGTAATACATAATTTGAACTACCGTAATATTTGTTAATTTTAATTAATAATTCAACAAAAAGGTCTCTTGTTGAATTTATCAAAATAGATATTAAAACTTGTATATAAAAAATAATAATACATTGTTGCATTTTTTCTGAACACAAAATACGACTTATAATGAACCTGCTGTCTAATTTTCAAACAAAGTGTATGTAAAAAAATGTTTTGAACATTTTATCACGTCTAGAAAAATCAAATATAAGCATTCTGTCTAAGTTTTGAGTCTCTTCGAATATACTTAACTGAATTACATTACAAAACAAAATATAAAATAATTATTTTCGTACATTTTCCCGTTCTTTTTGCTTTTTTTCGGTTTTGCTGGACTAATAAAAAAAAAAACTACAAAGAAAACCAAAATACGACTTTCTTTGTCATCTAAAATAAACATCATCTTTACTCAGAATCTAAAATTACGAAACTGTTCTTAAAATATTCGATGAAAAAATGTGTTAGTACAACCAAGTACCAGTTCGACTAAAGATTTTATCTCTTAGAGTTTTACTGTTATTGCGATGCGATTGTCGCGGGTTATATGACTTAGAATTATACCCTCTAGGTGATTATTATACACTGTAATAGATATAACATCATGTACCGAATATTTTATTTCTAATCTAATGATCTGTCCATTTTGTCCGACTAGAATTGATTTTCCGATTACCGTACGTGGTGTCGTAAAATTATTGTTATTATTACAGTATCTTATTTATTTTTTTCTTGACTAAACATCATGACTTTTCGGCCTACACACAAACACGCATTTATTATTGAATTTTCCTCGCGGAGTATATCTTAAACATATCAAAGTTCTCTTAAAAAACAATACGACTATATACATTTTTATAAAATATAGATAATACCTGAGTATTAGAACGCAGACGCATATTGTCATGTACGATTGGAGTGTGCCGATGGACGCCATATCGATGAGTTGTTCGAGATCGAACACGATTGACAACAGTCCTAGAAAATATTTGACTCGTGAACACTCGGTTGACAAATAGATCAATTCGTGCAAATAAAACTATTATAAACGATGAATTATTTACCTACAGTGACTCCGCAGACTATTGTAGCGATAAAAGGAGTTTTGGTTTTTTTGTTAATCTTCGCCAAGAAATCGAACAGCAGACCATCGCTGGACATAGCGTACAAAATTCGTGGTATCGGAAACAAACGTCCTATTAAACTTTAAACAATAATACAAATTAAAAAAAAAAAACATTAAAATAACGCGTTTTTATTTTTTAAAAAAATGAGTTGATACTGAAGACGGATTCGACCAATGTTGTTGGTGAGTAGTTGAAATGGCGAGATACATTATGTTAATTAATTCATACTTGTAACCAAGGATAAACTATTGCTAATAAAAATCGATTCGGAGCTAAGTTCGGTTATACTATTTTTTATAATATTTACGATATTCGTCAAAACATGATTAAAAAACTCTTTAAAGAAAAAAAATACTACGTTACACTCAGTTTTTTTTTAGTACGACTTATAATAAACCTGCTATCAAACTTTCAAAAATTTTTGTTTAGTCATCCACAGAGTACCTACCAAACAAAAATTACGTACTAAAATGTTTTTAACATTTTACCACTTTTAGAAAAAACGAATATAAGACTCTGTCAAAATGTCAAGTCTTTACAAATATTTTTGACTGAATTACATTCAAAAAGTCTAAATTTAAAATAATAAAATAATCATTATCGTAAATTTTTTCGTTTATTCTACATATGTTTCAGTTTTGCTCAATTGTGCTCAATTAATAAAAAAACCACAAGCAAAATAAAAAAAAAAACAACTGTCTTACTCAATAACTAGGAAGATTAAAAATTCAACAAAAAAGGTTACTTGTAATTTTTCTATTAGAGCAATTTTTTTATAGAAATCATAAGTCGTAAAAAGGACGGACATACTTTGCACGTGGGTGTAGCCACAGTTGTAAGTGGGAATTTGAGAAGATAAAATACAGACGGGAATTCAATATATATCTGTAAGTAACGATAAACCATTGCTTACGAAAAAATGATTCTGAGCGGAATACGGTTGATAGTGTTGTTTTGTCAACAATATTTATGTCATATAATGGTAAAATTATTACAACAATGTGCGTTTTCATGACAACAATAATTTTTTAAAAAATATTAAAATAATAAAAACTTGATAATAACAAAAAATAAATAAAAATGGTTGCCAATGACAACCTTATGTTTAATCTATCAATTTTTTTTAACACTAAGAACCAGGTTTTCCTCTTTATCTCGAATATTAATAAAAATTCCAAAAAATGACCTCTTTCAAGTACCACTTAGAGACCATTTTCTTTCAGAAAAGGTACTATACTTGATCATAATAGTAAGCTTTCCAGTAGAAAAAGTGTTCACAAAAAAAATAAACATCATTGTAAAACAAATACATTTCTCGCTGCACTCAGAATCTACAATTTAAAATAAAAGCATTGTAATTTGCTAGCTTCGTAATATTTGAAAAATGTATTTTCATCCTTTTTGGTTTTCCCAATTATCATGAAAACCACTTTGGCTATCCAAAAATTACTTTTTTTGTCAGAAACTATATATTTAAAAGGAATAAAATCGATTTTATGTCTTTTTTCAATTACAGCATTTTTTCTGATAGAAAACATTAGTTAAAAAATTTAAAAAAATTAAATCCGAAACGCCACGGAATTACGATAGTTTTCTTTCGGGTTATTTCGGAATTAATTCGAATTAAATTATTTCAAAAACCCCTTGGAAAATCAGAAATCTAATGCTTCAACTAGATAAATTTCCTTTCGGGAAAGGTACTATTCTCTATACATTGGATCAAGAATTTTTTTCGAAAATTTGTTTCTAGACAAAAAAAACACATCATATAGTAAAACATTAAAACCTATATGGATCCCTCGCTACACTCCGAATCTAAAATCAATTTCGAAATGATTCTCACGTGGTAAAAAGTGCAAACATTACTCCGCCGGTGACCAAGTATTTGAGTACAGGCGTTCCCAAACGATCGTAAATAACCAATAACGGCGCGCTGGGATCCTGAAATAATATAATATACGAAATATATAACAGCTTTATTAAAAAAAAGAATTAATATTCTATATTTCAAATGCACTTGATCGTACTTGATCGTAGTACGGCCACATAAGAGTTAAAACCGACGCTAAACCGAAGTAAGCGAAAGTGATGAAGGAAAACGTCAAGACGATTGCCAGTGGCATTGTTTTCTCCGGATTTTTCGTTTCTTCACCTGCGTACAGTATTTCAACAACGAAACAATTTCATTACAAATAAAAAGAGTTTACGCTACACATCTAATATAACAAAAAGGTCGAAGACTTTTTAGATAGATTCATCCCGCTTTTAATGAAATTATTATTTTTATTTATTTTTTTAAATTATTATAATAGTTAATAATATTTTAGATAAGATTTTTAGATAAGACATGGAAATTTCACCCCGGTAACCTCGCATTTTATTTTGCACTATTATTACTGTTATTTTTATTTTATTATAGCATGGATCACGGAATATTTTATTTTCAAATTTTTTTTACATTTTTTTTTATTTTTGCTTTTACAGGCTATCTAGGCCTCAATTGAATTCAATACTAGTTGCTTCCATTTTTCCCTGTTACTTGCATGATTTTCTCCATTTCACTCCGGTCCATTATGTCTCTTCTAACTACATCCAGCCACCTTTGCTTCGGCCGGCCACGAGGTCCTTTCTTATTTATGTTGTTCACGAGGAATGTGTTTGCTATACTATTTTCAGTCCTCCATACGTGGCTTGCCCACTCCAATCTTTCGCCTTTTATAAATTTATCAATACTTTTTGTTCTGTCTATTTGATTCAGCTGTTTGTTTGTCCTTCGCACCCAGCCTAGAGTATCGGATTCCATTATAATATATAAATAAAAAAAAAAACAATAGTGGTTGATCTATCCTCAGAAAATAAGGCACGGCTACAAATCGTTTTCAAAATGAAAAAATAATAGTAATTTACGAACCAGCTGAAACGATCGAATCAAAACTGATAAATCCGTAAAAACACCGTGCGGCTCCGGCGACTATTCCGGTCCAGCCAAATGGAAAAAAACCGCCTTTGCCGCCGTCAACTCCAGCCGGAATTTCGTTTTTCGGAATGAACCAATTGGACAAATTTACTAAATAAATTAGATAAAACATAATATTGAGACTTTTTTTTTTGATTATTTATAACGAGTTTAAAATATATTTTTTGATATGCTAAAATATAATAGTATAATAATATAATATATAGAATACGTATAAATACCAAAATAAAAACCACTAACGATGACAGTGCATATGGTCAACATGCTCAGTGCTGTAAACAGGTTATTGAGATTACACGATTTTCGAACTCCCCAAGCCACAAACACTGTAAAAATTTACATATGCGATATAATTTAAAAAATTATTGTCTATAAAAAATAGTGTGGTATAATTAATGAAATCAACTTTCGTCATGTTGTCTATGTTATAATATGCTTTTTAAAGTAATTATGTGAGAGATTTTTTTTTTTTTATTTTACAGAATATACATAAAATTAAAGTTTTTTTCAATATCAAAAAACAAACTAAGAATCGATTATTTTCTCGTAAGTTACATAACTTAGTGTAATAAATCTAAAAAAAAAAAATAAATTAGTTAAACGTTCAAACATTCAATAATAATTACAAGTTATAAACAGGATAAATAAAAACGACGTGACATCCGGATATTCGTTCATATAGTCCATGTGTATTGTAAAATATTTTTTCATATATTTTTTTTGTGGGTCGCCTAGTAAAGAATCCAAATAATTACTCATTGTTTTAGCAACTGCAGAAGTGCCTGAAAAAAATTAAAAATAATAACCCGTTTTTAAACAATGTTAGTATTTGTATGTCTATAAATAAGAAAACTTGCCAATAATATTTTTCAGAAGCAAATTCCACCCGATAATGAACGCGATCAATTCCCCAATAGCCACATAACTATAAACGTACGCAGATCCAGCTTTGGGCAATCGACAAGTGAATTCGGCGTAGCAAACTCCTGAAAAAAAATTGTTTATACAATTATATTCCTTCACTAATTGCAATCGTCTGTAACTCACTTTTGAATCTGAACTCAAAATAACATAAAGATTGGTGATTCGTTTTTTTTTTTTTTTTATTAAAAAACAGAGTATCAGTGATCACGAGTTATAGTGATGTAATTAAGAGGGGCTCAGCCCCCCTGTGTCGTCTGAAACCATCTAAATGCATAGGTAGAGTCCCTGTCAATCGAATTTATTTGATATTATAAGGGGGCCCAAACCCCTCCCCTTAAGGTTTATGAGCTAATTGCATCACTGCACGAGTAATATTTTTTGAAATTGTGTACAAATGACGGCACACGAACATTTAACGAAATTGAATTTATTGGTTTTTATTATTATTTTTTTTTTTTAATAAGGCATTTTCCAATAATTTTACCTACCAATATAATAAAATAACATGACACACAACTTACAGCTATAAAGATTTGACATTATTACTAAATATTGTTGGTGTGGGTCTTAAAACTATTTATTTATTTATTTTAATATCATACTGTTAAAACTGAATTTATAAATATTTTTTAAAAAAAAACTATATATACATAATGACTACTTATTATTCTGGAACTATCGAGACACATAATGTATTTAAGGTGGGCCACAAAAAAATATACAGGTATGTATATTAATTCCTTTACTGACGTCAGAGTTTTATACTCGTATAATCGATTAGAACACGATTGCACCATTTATATTGATGAAAAAAAATCTAAAAAACAACTAGTAGATGTTCTAAAATATGGTAATATATAATGATTAAGGCTGATTAAAAATATCGTTGGATACTTGGGTACCTATAATGTTAAATATTAATTTGGATTCTAACCGCGAGCGAAGTAGCTATTACTTATATGGGTGTACAGTAATGTGGAATTTTTGTTTTCTTTACTTAAAAAAATCATGCAAACGTTTCTATCGATGTCTTTTAAATGATGGATCATAATAATATTGAGAATATTAAAGCCATGTTATTCGTGTTTTTTGTCATTTTGGTACCTAATGACTGCAGTTCGTTTATTAAGGGATAATTCACGCATACCATACACAAGAGGCACGAATCAAACTTTTCAATAGTGTTTATTAAAATGGTATACTTTTATTTGTTTTTTCGTGATGTAGTTTAAATATTGAATTTGATGTTGCCTACATGTTGTTGTGGTCATATTTGTATTATAAATAATATTTTACAAATTTTTAAAAAATATTAGACGAACGTATGTGGAAAACTACTAAAGCCTTTAAACAACATTGTAACTTTAAAAATGAATTCATAAATTTATTATCCCCTCTCGATATTTCAGTGGTAATCGATTTTCGATATTTTGGTCACTTTACGATTTAGTACTGCACACAATGAAATTTCTTAATTTTAATTAGGTATCTACTTTGAAGGGTCAATGACAAAAACATTTAAAAAGTATTTCCTACAGAATACATCGAAAAGTAACGTAAAAGGTTTGGAACACACCTAGTTTTCATACGTTTTAGACTAATAAACAGTGGACAAATATAAATTGTCCGATTTAAATTTTTAATTTATGTATAAATTAGTTGACAAATTTGCTAGGTTATTTAGAATGTTGATTTTCAATTTTAAAGATATCCGAAATTAGGATATTTTTTTGGAAAATTTCATGAAATAACCACATTACATTTGTATTTATTTTAGGCACCAAATTTTAAATTGAAAAATCGATTTCCTAAATAACTGATACATATTATCAATAAATACTTACATACTTTAAAAACTTAAATCGAACATTGGAAAATAGGTGTGTCTAATTTTCCCCCACTTACTAGTCTAAAATGTCAAATTCGTTCGTAAAAAGGCACTCCTTCGCCTTATTAAATGGAGTGGGTCTCTTTTCACCCAAGAACGACCTATCTATTTTCGCCTAATTATGATAAATTAATATTTTCTATTCATCCGAAATTAATTCAAGTGTGCATTCCATCGTGGTTTCATTTTCAAAATTTCGGGAACCATTTATCATCAATATTTGCTTATTCATTCATTATTATTTATTTTTCAATACTTAAAAAAGTATTCTCTAATATTTTAAAAAAACTCAATAACTTGGTCAATTTTAATTATAACAGTATATGTTTTATTTATTCCTCGTGGTACTCTTTAATTGAATAATGTCAAATGAGAAAAATATTTTATATAAATAGTGAAAAATAATAAATGAATAAACAATAATATCAAAAATAAAAAAATTTGATGAATCCTTCCCAGAATATTGAAGATGAAACCGCAATCAAAAAGAGTGGATTTAATTTTAGCACACAGAAAAAAATATTTTATCATACTTGGGCGGGAACGTGGATGTAAAACTTGTCACTTATTAATGGATATTAGACAATACATTTGTGGAAAATCATATCATTAAGGTGGTCATTAAAAAGTAAACAGTCATTTTCAAAATTTTACAAATTGCAGAAAATTTGGAAAACTGTACTTGAAGTTGTATATATATACGCCTCGTGTTTATTTGTCTACCGTTTACTATAATATTTGATTCAAATGCATAAAAAAATCTAATCGCCCATTTTATAGAACCACTTAAACCAAAACATTCATTTGCAATTATCTATACATTATATTTACCGGTTATTTTAGTAAAACAGCTGCATTTGCCTGTTTACATTACACTTAACACCCACGCATTTAGTCATCACCGGGAAAATGCACTTAATATAATATATTATTAGAAAAATCTCGAGTACCTGAAAAAGTAGAAGCGATTGCGGCCAACGCAAATGATAATACGACCGCGGGACCGGCAATCGATTTGGCCACAGTCCCGGCTAACGCATAGACGCCGCAACCAAGCGTGGAACCCACACCCAAAGCGGTCAAATCGATTAAGTTCAAAGTCCGTTTCAATTGACTTTTCTTCGGGACTTCATCGTCGAACGTTTTCTTCCTAGTCACTGTTTTGAACAGATTTTTTGCGATCTACAACGTATACACAAATCACTCGTATAATAGTATAACCTCGTATATGATGACGTTTCAAGTCTCGACCATTAAGCAATTTTTGTTTCAAAAATCATTTTAGTCGCGTTAAAAGCCAAGAGCAATCTGAAATCATTTAGTTAGCAGCAGTGGTGTAGTCAGGATTTTGAATTTAGGAGGGCTAATTAGATTTTTGCTTGAACATGGACAAATATACAAGGGGGGGGGGAGTTTTAACACCCAAACCTATTTAATATAATACTTTTAAATGTGTATAAGAAATTAAAAGAGGTTCTAGAATAATGAGAACGGGTGCAGTCATTGTTATAGGTAATTTAATGTGTACTTGTAAGCAACAAAAAACCATTACTAACGTAAAAACGACTCTGAACGGAGTTCACTTGATAATGATGCTTTGTCAAAAATATATGTCATATTAAGGTAAAGTAATTAAATAGGCATTATTTATTTTCTTTAATAATATTTGTTTGTTGTACTGATTTTCCCGTTTTTCCCATGTTTTTTCTCGGTTGTTCACATTTTCTGGGAAAATCAAAAAATTACCTCTTTTAAGTACCTTTCCACACCGATTTCATTTTAGAAAAGGTGGTACACTTAAAAATTGGAACAAAATCTCTGGTAGAAAAGTTGTCCACAGAAAAAAAAATTAACATCTTTATAAAATCATACGCTTCTTCGCTCAACTCAAAATCTAAAAAACTTAAAAGGTAGATACTGAATGTATACTATAAAAAAATAAAATATAACTATATGTTATGGCATACTTGTAACTATACGTACTCCGCTCTAACAGCTGTACCTTCCCAGGAGAATTTTGAGCAAAATCAATAATTACTCGTATATAATTTTCATTAATGTCTTTTTTTGTATTTATATTAGCCATGGTTAACCAATTGAGTCTATGGTACTTGCTAGCATAGTGCTCGTCCTTAAATCGTTTTTTTACGGTTCAGTGGAAAAAACGTTCTTTCAGAAGTGGAAAAAAAAACTAGAAACGTAGTTAACACTCAATTCGTTAAATAGTATATACCGAGTGATTCATTTAATTGGGTATACTTATTATCTCGGAAAGTATTTTTTTTTTCGGAATTTATTTTTTTAAACATTTAAGAAACAACCAGCTCTACAATTTTATATTTATGTTATTTTTTGTAACCCTTATTTTTGAGGTTAAAACTACTACCTACTTTTGATTTTCAAAGGGCAACCTATATTGTAAAGTCCATAAATAGATTGAGTATTAGTTAAAATAAATTTTGGTGTTGAAATTTTCGATTTCTGTCAAGCCGTTGATGATATGACGAGATATCTACTTTTAATTTTAGGTTGGAGGATAGTAGTGGTGCGTCATTGATACGCCGCGTGCCGTACCGCCACACAAATGACACTCCACTACTCTTTTCCAACCGATACTTAAAAGTGGAATATCTCGTCAACGGATCAACGGAAATCAAAACTTTCAACACTAAAATTGACTTTAACTTATACTCCATCTATTTATGGACTTTTTATTATAGGTTGTCATTTGACAATCAAAAATAGGTAGTGGTTTTACCCCCAAAAATAAGGTTGACAAAAAAATAAAATAATATAAAATTGTAGAGCAGATTGTTTCTTAAATGTTTTAGGAAACAAATTCCGAAAAAAGTCAATATTTCTCACTTAAATGAATCACCTGATATAATATGTATACATATATACATAAACATGGCCCATGGGAAAGACTATAACCCCCTTAGCTCCCCCTCCTCTGGGTACGCTTTTGGGTAGCAGAGTTTTATTTTCTATCCAAATTTGTGTCATAGCGTTTAAGCTGTTTAAAGAAGGCCTCGTGACAACATTTGTTTTCCCTGTCTGACTAGCGCGTAATATTATAGCAACAATGTCCCATATCAAGATATTCATGTTTTAATATTTAACTCAGCTTTAACCATTTAAAGCTTATTTAGATATACAAATATTTAAAAAAAATTATTCGATAAAATTTAAAAAAATATTCTTTTTTTTAAAGTGTTTAATTGAACCCTCCCCTCTAAACTTAACCAAAGAGTCACGCGGAACGCTTATTTTTTCTATTTTACTCGTGAGACAGAAACAAAAATACAAATGTTAGTGACGAGAACCCTTATGTCATACTAAAAATATACGCATACAAGAAATACAAAATAAGGGTTAGGTAAAATTTGAAAAATTGCGTGTAAATCTTAAATTATAATATAATTATATTGCTTTATGATATAATGGATATATTTTACGAAAGATCGATCATCCTGTATATTATGATAAATTATAATTAATAATAATACTATTATGTCAACAATTCATTCGAAAAAAAGTAGATAGTAATTAATAAGATACTCGTTCAGTAAACGTTAAACGTGTCGAGGCGATTTTATATAAAGTGGGAGAATGACGTAGATAAAAAATCACACGTGCAGAGTTCTCTTCATAACCCCGGTGGATTAAAAAATAAAAAAACTCGACGGACTCGTAAAAAGCTCAGTATTTAAAATATTAAATATGTTTATATTTTCATGACTTTCTACTGTAATTCGTGACCCTCGACAACATAAAAACCAGAAGATAATCATACATAACCTGCCGTAATATTTTGGTAATTTTATCGAATACCGCGTTGTACGGTTGAAATAAACGTCCGACAAACGATAATGCCCCAGAGTCAAACAATATAATAATTTCGAGTATTGATAGTAAAATCGATGATATATAGTCAGTGTTGAATCCAGACGATTTTTCTGGGAGGAGGGGGCACTAACAATTATAGCGATGGACTTTTTTTATTTTTTTGCTTAAATGCCCTCTTAATCAAATTTGTTTTATTATTTAATTAATTTATCTACATTTAACGGGGGGGGGGCGAATGAAATTCCAGGAGAGGCTATCGCTCCTCCCCCCGGCCATATACCTAGATTCAACACTGTATATAGTAGTGTTTGTAATAAGTTATACAAATGTCGGATACTTACAGACCACGTGTCGTTCGTCATGACTATTAAAAAATATTGATCAAATTATTGAGAATTCGTATCAAAAACTACGGCAACAATGTGGAATGAAATTATTAAATTTCCTTCTTTTTAAATGTTGAATATCATCTGTGAGCGGTTTGGATCTCCGACAACTTGACTTGCTATTGGCTTGACTTGACTTGAATATAATACTTTACGCAGTGGAAATAGAAATTTCGCTCCAGTGATGTAATTTTATATATACCTAACCTGTTCGAACGTAGTGTGCACTCCTACAAGTTGATTTTATTGGCGTTTATCGACCAAACCAAACGGTACGGACACTCGAGTTTGGCGCACTCTTAATAAAACGTATATTGGAGTGGAATATGACACAATAATATTATTCTCGGTCGTTCACGGCTACCATACAGGTAGCTAAAAATGATACGCGTCGTTTTTCATATTAATAAAAAAATAACAAATAATATTCGCCGTAATTATAATGCAGATAATGGCATAATTTGTATTCACGCGCGTATACCTGAATTAGAATTCACGAAAAAAATGCATAAAAAAAAAAAAACGTATTATTTTTACACTGCCACGGAACGATGTCACTGAAACTACAAATAATAGTGGGTAGTCGACGTATCACTAAACCGGTCTACAGTCGAACTGTTATTATCACGTTTAACTCGCTGCAGTTATCCTGACTCACTACGATCAACAACGAAATAACCTTCCGCCGATAATAACCGAATCGTTTGGGTAAGTATTAAATAAAGTATTCCGGGTATGGTTTATTAAACCGATAAAAAAACGAGTATAATTAAATAAGCAAAAGTAAATATCTTGCTTCTAACAATTGTAAGTACTTGCAAATGAATTATTACACTTTATGTAATCATAAAAACTAAATTTTAATCATTTTGATAGCATATTTTATATTATCAAATTTTTAATAGGTTTCTACAAGAGCGGATCGGCCTATCTGGAAATCGGTAATCATCCCAATGGGCCGGTTCTTGTAAGGGCCGCTATACTTATTATATAATTACAAAAAAGTTATATTTTTGTAAAACAAGTATAAAATATTACAAAATTAAATATGAAAATATTATTTTGGTGCTTATTGGTAGATTCGTATTATTGTAATAATAATGAATAATAAATGATAAATAATAATAAATGATTTTGTTTAAATTTTAGATTTAAAAAGACGGACATACTTCGCACCTATTATAGGTGAGAAGTTGGGACGGTAGGATACAGAAAACGAATTTAATGTATATCTGTAAGCAACAATAAACTATTGTTAACGAAAAAACGATTCTGAGTGGGGTTCAGTTGATTATGTTACTTTTCCAATAATATATGTCATATTATGGTAAAATGGTTTCAACAATGTGCGTTTACAACCAATAAACAATCATTATAAAACCAATACATTTTTCGTTCCGCTCAATAATCTATAAAATGGAAGAATCTTAGCACAAGGTTTTAGTAACCATAAAAGAAAAAAAAAACTTAAAAATGTTAAGTATTACAAAATGTATTATATTTGCAGATCTCCGTGGCACACACTAAAGACTTGTAAAATTATTTATTTCTTACGTTTACTATCAAGAAACATAAATACACTAACCGGTAAAATCGTACGGATATAAAACACCCATTAAGAAAAACGAACGAAAATTCATTTTTATTAATTAAAACAAAAGTATTTCACAAGGTCTAACACCCAGGTATAGCATATTACATAACACCCAAAAAGTAGAGATGAAAGGAAAACAGTAAGATACAAATAATGTTCGGAGAAATAATCGTAAAATCGTACGAATGTAAAACTTACCCACTGAGAAAAACGAAAGAACATTCAATTTTATTAATTGAAACAAAAGTATTTCACAAGGTCGAACACTCAAATATAACATATTACATAACACTCAAAGAGTAGAGATGAAAGAAAAACAGTAAGATACGAATAATGTTCGGAGAAATAATATTTAATAAGTCGTCGTCAAAATAGGAAGATATCGGTATATTAGACATACGTGATGACGAAACCCATATAGACAACACAAAAAATAATTTTTTCAACTAAAATTAAATACAAATTTAAATATCCGTAAATTAAAACAAATAATTAGGTTAAAAAATCAATTTTTTTTCATTATGATGACTAAAATATAATTGAATGAAAAAAGTAATAAGTGATTATTGAAATTCTCCTTTTTTTGATTCTTAACATTTATTATGAACATTAAAAAAATGAATTATGTACCTATTTAAAAAAACTATTTTAATAAGAAACAACAAATACGCTCTATACTGCAATATTTCCCAAAGGGTGGGCCGTGACAACTTGAACAATTTTCTTTTAAAATACAATTGTAAAATAACCATACGATTTTCATAAAAACAATTTTTGGAAATATTAAATATTAAACATAAAATATAATGGAATAAAACAAGTTTGAGTACAAATAAAATAATATTGACTTATTAGCATATCTAAAAATTTTAATGTAAAACGTGTGCTTGATGCTGTTTGAACAATAATTGAATTCGAGGAAGGATCGACGATAAACACACTCGAATAACTTGATAAAAGCCGTTCACGTGTCTTACTTTTGATATTAGAGCGGAAAATCCAAGTATGCTGTGGTATGTTGTAGAAAATGGTAATAGCGTATTTATGGCTATTTATTTGTAATTATTTATGTAATTTATATATTGAACGAGGACCTTGCTAAAGTACAAACTTTCTTTAAATCCTGGCATCTCACTCTTAACCCGGGTAAGTCAGCCTCCATTGTTTTCCACCTTAGCAATAGAGAAGCGAACAGGAAATTAAACCTGGTAGTGGATGGCAATCCTTTACCAACCGAAAACGCACCATAGTATCTAGGCATTAAGCTTGACAGATCGTTAACATTTAAACAGCATCTAGAAGGGGTTAAAGACAAGTTGAAAACACGAAATAATATCAACAGCAAACTAGCTGGAACAAGTTGGGGATGTAGGGCAAACGTCTTACGAATTTCATCCTTGGCATTAATTTACAGCGTTGCAGAATACTGCGCCCCAGTATGGGCTAGGAGTACGCACACTAAAACTGTCGACACACAACTAAATCGTACAATGAGAATTATATCAGAATGTGTCAAATCAACTAAGTTAGAATGGCTACCAGTGCTCTCACACATAGCTCCCCCAGAAGTGCGTAGACACTCAGCAGAGCTAAAAATGATTGAGAAATACAAAACTCTCCAAGCCTTCCAATATATGATGACTTGTATAACGCACCAAACAAAAGACTGAAATCTAGAAATCCTATATGGACGTTAAAAAGGAGTACAATCACAGAAGGGGACTTATGGAAGTTACATCGGAAGGACGGATTATGGAAGTTACATCGGAAGGACGGAGTAGTACTAAATAACCACCTCATAAGTGATCCAACACAACTAGTTCCAGGTTACGTTTTCCCCCGTGCAGCATGGACTGCCTTAAACCGCATAAGAACTGGACAGGGAAGATGCAATTATTTGATGCACAAATGGGGTATGGTGGACTCTCCACTCGGTAACTGTGGCCAAATCCAAACTATTGGCACATTGTTGAGGAATGCTCGGAAACAAAGTTCAGTGGAGGAACATCAGGTCTTTACAATGGAGACAAGGAAGCCCTAGATTGGCTATGCAATCTTGCCACACGCTTATAGCATTTAATAGTTATTACTTGTAGCTTGCTTATTTATTTATTAGTTAGACTATTTATTTTATTTTATTATATTCCGTTAATACTTTTTTGTTGTACACCAATACCATGTCATATGCAATAAAAAATGTAATTATCGAATATTCGATTTTAATAAAATTCCAAAACTGAAAGAGTCTAAGTTTATTAAATTTGAATTTCAATGAACGATCGGCTTGAAGTTTTAAAAGTTGCTCTTGTTCAACTAATCCTAGATGAGATATTGCATCTGTTTTTATTTCGAAAGGATTGCACACCCAATCATATTCGTTAATAGGCAAAGATGGGAAATAAATCCGGTCCTAAATCACTTATATTTAGAAAGTTGACAATATTTACACATAGTGTGCCGCGACTTATATTAAATAATAATAATGTGCCGCGATAGCAAAAAATTTAGGAACCGCTACTCTATAGCATAGAGGGGACATAAAAACTATAAGTATTAGGATTGATAAATTCACTAAGGATCACATATACATATATATGTTACGGTAAATGTTGTAAATAAATCGGTTAATGTTGTTAAATGTATACTTTTTCATATATGAAAACCAATTTTAAGTGTATTTCTCTATTATTAAACCTAAAGATAAGAACATTGCCTATATGAGTACGTTAGTTTTTTTTTTTTAGATATTTTAATTTTCAAGTGAATTACGAGTATGTAAAATATTACAATTTAAAAATCATGCCATCTCACATAATAATTAAAATATCGAAAAAACCAACGTGTCAACACAAATAGTATTCTCACCTTTAAGTTTGATAAAAGGCCAATATACTTTAATAATAAAATTAACGGCACAAAATAAGTTAATGTATATATTTAAAAACGTTTACCGTAACATATTAATTAACGTTTAGTTAAACATATTACTTACATATTAACATAATATTATTATATTATAATAATGATATATAATATATATTAAATAATTGTTTTCAACATATTAAATTCACATATAAATATAAATTACAAGAAATATTATTTTATGTGACACGACAATATCATCTAAGAAAAATAATTAATATTTTGTTTGAAAGTGCCAAATGTTTTTCAATAAAAAATAAAAACTTAATTTAAAGCATAAACACTTATAAATATTGCCTAAATAGATCAATATTGAATAATAATGTCCAACTACAGTGCAGCAAAACAAGGTTGAACGTAATGTGTAAAATATTTGAATAACTACCCTGCATGATATATCTAATAATTGTCTAAAAATAGTTGATCATACACGTAGCACCGTAATAAAATCTTCTAGGTAAAAGAAGTTACTTCTATAAATTAAAAAACTCTAAAGAAATGTCATTATTTATTCATTACGATGACACTGGAAATGTTGCTCTTAGACTATCAATACTCTCGGCATAATAATCGGGAACTAACTCTTGTAAAGTAGGATCGTCGGATTTGCTCCATTCTTCCACATCTTTTAAACTATTCACACCGGTCAGTACCAACAATGTTTTAAATCCACAACGTTTACCAAATAATATATCAGTATTGCAACGGTCACCAATCATTAGAGTTCTGGAAGGATCGATTTTATTGGTTTCCATTAAGACATTACAAATGTAACTCGACGGTTTCCCGACCACAAATGGTTCCCGTCCAGCACTACATTTTACAGAACATACTAGACAACCGGTAGCTGGTATAACAAAATCAGAACCGGCTACGGAAAAATTCTCATCGGTATTGGTAGCCACGAATAAAACATTTTCATCTTTCAAGTATGATGCCGCTTTTAATAACTTTGGGTAACTAAAATGATCGTCGAATCCTACTAAAACCGCTCCAACGTCGGATTCTAGCTTCACGTTATCGACAAATTCTGGTACTGAAGTTTTTAAATAGTCCTCACCAACGCCAAAGTTTTTCACATTTAACGCGTTCAGTTCACAGGCTAGAGCCGGTGATCCGATTACGTAAACTCGTTTGGACGGATCTAGATTGGCTTTTAAATATTTGGCAGCCAAAAAACTAGTATTAATCACGTCGTTGACCGATGCTTGAAATCCGAGGGAATGAAACTTCTCCAAAAGTTGTACATGCGATTTAGTACTGTTGTTGGTAACGAAAAATATTTTTTTGTCGTTTTTCTTGAAATCAATAATAACTTGTGTCGCACCGGGTATAGTGTTGTTCATAATCCAAAGTACTCCATCGCAGTCAGTCAGTACAGTGTCGAACGAGTTGAAGAAATCCCGGCGACCTTCCGCTGATAGTGTTTCAATGCAAATGGACATCATCTTCAAAATGTTCGTATTTAGTTTCCTAACAAAGAAAAACAAAAATATTTATTTTATAATTATAACTTATGTGTATGATAAAAATGATGACTTAAACAGGATTTCACAATAATTTAAAGTACATTGAATAAAAATAGTATAAAATGTTTATACGAAATTGCATGCAATACGGATAGGATTAAGCACCAGGGGTCTACTCTCAAATACACACATTTATCAATGTGAGCCAGACTTCTGGTAGAAAACATCGTATTTATTTTATTATTTTATTTATTTATTTATTTATTTAAATCGGGACGCTACAGTGAAAAAAAAATTTATGAGTATGTAAATTTGACCATGTTTATTTATCATTTATTAACAAATATTTATTTTTTTTCTTAGTGTGATAAACATATTATTAAATTAAAAAAGTGTATATATAAAATCAATAAATATAATTGGTAAAATTAATGATATTAACGAACATAAACTTAAGAAAGAAACGCATTGAATGAATAAATAGTTTATTAATTTAATAAAAAGACATTTTACATTCCTAAATTACAATATATATATATTTATCAAATTAACCATTCGATTGTTTACTATTATCAGTTTTATTGTCAAATTCAATATAATATTATTAAATTATATTCATTCTATTATATTTTGCTAAACAAAAATATCTAGTAAGTTAGATACACCTAGTCAATATTTATTTTTTTTATTACCTACCTACTGTTATAATATGATAATCATAAAAATTAAATTTAGACTAGTACAGTTTATTGTTTTATTCATATTAGTAAGGATTAATATTTAAAGCAATTGGTGAAATGGAAAATCATATACTAGTGATGTTCAAAATAAAAATGATTAAAAATACTGGTATTTTTCGTGCGCGTTGCCGTAAATATTAATCAATTTTAGATTGTTGGTTTTTTCCGATTTTTTATGAAAACCACTTTGAATGTCAAAAAACGACTTTCTTTATCAAAGGCTATATATGGAAAGGAACAAAATCGATATCTTGCAATTTTTCGATTGGCATAATATTTCTGGTGGAAAACATAGTGTGTAAAAATTTAAAATAATAAAATCGATAACGCAACAGCATCCCATGAATATTTACCATTTACTTGATTATCTTTCGAGTTTTTTCCAATTATTTTTAAAACCCCTTAAAAAATCAAAAAAATTACCTCCTTGATGTAGTTAGTTAAATACATTAACTAAAGAAAATTTCATTCCTAAAAAACATTATAGTAAAACCAATGAATCCCTCGCTATCCTCTGAATCTAAAAAGTTACGATAAGAAACGACGACGATTATATAAGTTAATTAAAAAACGTATTTAACATATTTTACTAGCATAAAAATAAATATAAACACAAGGATCAACATGTTATTTTATATGGTAATACAAAATAATTATTATACTATCTAAAAAAAATTGTTTATTTTTATTCGGAATTGTTAAATATATTTCCACCAAAAAAAAAAAAAAATACAATAAAAATGGTTTTAAATGTTTGTAAGAACTCACGTGCAATATTAGAATCTGCCATACGGATAAGACCAGACACTACCATACACTATGCACGCTGCCAAATGCAATTGAACGGTCGTTCCATACACGAATACGGAGTATCTCTTGCTTGGATCAAATTTTTTCATTCACTTATAAGTGCCATCTCATTTCTATGAATCCGACGTTAGAGTCGAACGTTAGGGCTATGCACGAACGGTGATCAAGAATACGACTTCTAGAAAGTATATACATTTCCATATTCGACCACCGTTCGGCTGTAATTGAGAATAGGCCCTTTGATAATCTAGTAAGCGACGGCGAAATGAAAATATAGTTATTCGTTGGCCATTAATATAATCATAAGGATCTGAAACGTGACCGTTGAAATAAACGAGCGAAAATTTATTTTTGATTCTTGAAAGAAAAATAATTCGCAAGATCTTGTTATCGTTTACTGGTTGACGATAACCCAACCCTCAAGTCTAAAAAAAAAAGTTGTTTTTAAACTAAAATTTAATAAAAATGGGAGTTCACGTAAATTTAAAAAATCAGTAAGTAAGAAAATCTTTATTGATTTAAAAATAATTGTAATAATGATCCGAAATTATTACGTGTTTATTGAAATACCGTTTTTAGATTATTGGGCATACATTTAATAAGAAAGTTATCTAATTAATTAAAAATAAACATCAGATACAGAATGTACTTGTATGCGCCGGAGCCGAATAATGGTAATCCTCGTACCCAGTCACATAAATTATTAAAGAGTGTGTCGTGTGTGAAATGATACGTAAAGTTAGTAGAACAAAATGCTAACACAGAAAAATAGGTATTTGTGCGACTTGCATTTCACACCGGTTCGATACAATAACCAATGCGAAATATATGTAACAAACAAAATAGTCGATTGGCTCAACTAATGTAATATAACATAGGTAAATGGTAATATAAGTTGTAACTGTGAGATTACTAATAATACGAATAGATAATAATGAAAAAAGAATAGACTGCAATAAAAATCCATTCTCACAGTGACAATAGATAAAAATAATATTATAAATATACAGAAATTCAGAAAGAGCCTAAAAATGTTTAGGAAAACAATTTTCGAGAATATTATTCGTACGGAATGATAAAAACCGATAGATTGGACACTAGAGTACCAAATCATATTGGACTTTTAATCGAAAATAAACCTCGATTTATTGTGTAAAACCACGTAGCGCAGGCAACAGTGAGAAAAGTCCGATATAAAAACGTCTACATTTTGTAGGATTTAAAACAAATTTTTAAAAAACTAATGATTGTTATTATTATTTTTACGATTATAACGTTCTTGTGTTTTATGCACCTCCGAATTGAGATAAGTACTCACGATTTACAAACCAATGGAAACGAGACTGACCAGCCCTAGTCCCTAGCCTAAAATGAAGAAAACTAGCATAAACAAACTATTGTACAACGGTAACTAGCTATACAATGGGAACGTTTACGACCACGATGACGATTCGCGTACACCTGCGAACAACAATCTAAATAGCCCGATTAGCGACGGATACCGTGACAAAGGTTATAACCACGAACTAAGAAAGAGAGGACTAAACACGAACATATTTATAATGGACCCGTAAGTACCACTGTCGAGATGGTGAGTACATAGTAGGCATTTACCGCTGCCCAGCGGCTGGTTGAAAAGACTGTATAGAACACATAAATAGTGTTACATGTTCGTCAAATAATAATCAGGTAGGTTAGAATAGAAGATACCCAAGCACTTACGACCCGACTCCCCGTTTCCCGCCCACACATCATTTCCAGTCCTCTCTATCATAGCCCGTGGTTTTAAACACGAAGCCCCGCGGCGATTAGTGTCCTGGTGCTAACAAAAAGCTACACGACAATAATGTCAAAAACTGCGATATTTTTCGTAAAAAAAAACAACACGTCGACGGTACACGTTAAAGTAAACGCCGTGATAACTAGAATGACGAGTGATATCGACGACCACCTGACCAGTTGCGTAACCATCAAATTAGATCCAACGGGCCTTGACCGCGACCGTAAATTCACATTGAATGTAGCAGTGACATGAATTGGCCTAAATGTAATATTGAGACAGCTACTGGTGACGCAGACAAATATTTAACTTTCTAAAAACATTTCTTTTTTTTTTTTTTAAAAAAATCAAAAATTAGTATTGAATTATTTGAACAGTACAAACTTTATTAGTAATTTAATATTATATTTAAAAGTCGGTTCTCCACTGTCAAATTTTCTCTAGTCTAATCGAGTGTTCAGCTTGACTTTTTCCAATTAAGAATAAATATAGTAAATAAATATAAAAATAAAAAACGTCTATACATACATTTTTTATTTATATATACTTTATTTATGTAGGATTATTAACCATTGTAATAATTTTGTTTTTACTTTATTATTTTATACTTTACTCGACACATTTTTTTTCGGTACTCAACTTTTGAACTCAACTCCATTCAAAAAAGTAATACTTGATTCGACTGGACTCGATTTCAAAGAAAACCAAAACTCGTCCAACTCTATTTGATACGTAAATAACGGCCATGCCGGCAGTAGATAAAGAATGCCGGTGGATCAAATTCACTTAATTTAGCTTGACGTATCTGACCACTCCTGGTGGTGCAAACAAATAAGTTTGTACCTCCACATTTTAAATATGTTACATTTGCACAGGTCAATTTACGCTACTGGTTAGGTTAGATTAAAAATAGATTTGCATTACTGGCGCAAACAGTACCTATATTTCATGATATTTCAATTGGTTTTAATAGTGTGTACCACAATTGTCTTCCAAAGGTTGCAGCTCGTGCCAGTATCACCCGGGCATTCACTGTGTCCAAGAACCAAAGTGGCGACTAAATGAACTACCAGGGCTACTGGCATGCATTTAGTAAGATGTACAGCATACCTTACATGTTATAAAAGCCATGGTTCTTCTGTAACGCTTTGTTGTTTTACCATAACAACTAAATATAAAACCCATTATACCCGTATAATTGAGACGAGTCTATGAATCAATTAAAAAATGTATTTCACGTAACTATTTAAAAAAAAAATAATAAACACAAGAATTGACATATTATAATCAATGATACGAATATTAATATTTTAATATCCAAAAGAAATAATTTGTATTTTAACTGGAAGGGTTAAATGTTTTCCAAATAAAAAGAAAAATAATACAATGTATAAATACTTAATACAATTATCTAAATAAATCAACGTCGAATAATAATTTTCAACTCCGGTGCAGCGTAATAAGTTACAGGTACGTTATATATAGGTATAACAGATTTTAATACCTATACAGTATGTTTACAACATAATATCTAAACATTGTTTTAAAAAGGGATTCTACGCATTTGATCAAATTGTCTAAATAAAATATATTGCTTAAATTAATAAAAAAAAAAAAAACAATATAAACTTTCATGAATTATGCAAATTTTCAAAAAAAAAAAAAAAAAAAGGTTACTTTAATATAACATAAAAGGTCAATCAAAATTATTGTTAGTTATTCATTACAGTGGTACTGGAAATATTGCCTTCAGACTATCAATACCCTCGGCGTAATAATCAGGAACTAACTCTTGTAAAGTAGGATCATCTGATTTATTCCATTCTTCCACGTCCTTCAAACTATTTACACCAGTAAATACCAACAATGTTTTAAAACCACAACGTTTACCAAATACGATGTCAGTACTGCAACGGTCACCAATCATTAGGGTTCTCGAAGGGTCAATTTTGTTGTTTTCTGTTAAGAAATCACAAATGTAAGTTGACGGTTTGCCGATCACAAATGGATCCCGTCCAGCGCTGACTTTTACAGGAATTACTAGACTACCAGTAGCGGGCATAATTATATTTGAATTACTGGCTATAGGAAAAACCTCATCCATATTAGTCGCCAAGAATAAAACGTTTTGGTCTTTCAGATAAGATGCCGCTTTGAATAACTTTGGGTAACTAAAATAATCATCAAATCCTACTAAAACAGCACCCACATTGGATTCTAGCTTGACTTTATCGACAAATTCTGATACAGAAGTATTTAAATAGTCCTCACCAACGCCAAAGTGCTTCACGTTTAACGCGTTCAATTCATTAGATAAAGCTGGTGATCCAATTACATAGACTTGTTTGGACGGATCGAGATTATCTTTTAAATACCGGGCAGCCAAAAATCCACTACTAATCACATCGTTGATCGAAGATAGAAATCCGAGTAAAAGAAACTTCTCCAAAAGTTGTGCCCGCGTTTTAGTGTTGCTGTTGGTAACGAAAGATATATTTTTATTATTATTTTTGAAGCCATTCATAACTTGAGTCGCCCCGGGTAGAATATTGTTATCGATCCAAAGTACTCCATCGCAGTCGGTCAGTACATTGTCAAACGAGTTGAAGAAATCGAAACGACCTTCCACTGATAGTGTATCAATGCATGTGGACATCATCTTTGAAATTTTCGTATTTAATTTCCTAACAAAAGAAAAACGCCGATATTGGTTTCACAATCGTGGATTTTATTATGCTAATAGTATTGTTACGATTTCTCGCTATTTCAGTGACAGTCAAATGATTTTGTCATAACGGTGGGAATAACAATAACTTTTGAAAACTATTACGTACATAATTAATTATTATCAATACAAGTCTATAATAATATAATATACATTGATTTTTTATGTATGCTCACCACATTTTAGATTCGAAGCGTAGGGATCTATTGGTTTTACTATGCGTTTTTTGCAATTTTTTTTATTATTATTATTTGTTTCTGTAAACAACTTTTCTACTAAAAATCTTTCTAGAGCATAGCTCTTTTTCTGAAAAATAATTTTGTCTAGTTGGTGCATTGGGAGATTGTTTTTTTTTTATTTTCTGAAGGGATTTTTAAAATAACTGAGAAAACCCCGGAAAAAAATTATAAGTAAACGCCAAATATTTACAACGTTACCGATTTCATTGTTTTTAATTTTTGCACAGTGTTTTCTACCAGAAATATTGCTCCAATCGAAAAATGAAAAGAAATCGACTTTGTTTCTTATGTTTTCAAATTACGGCGCAACGATTTCATTATCACAGAAATAAGTTTTTCAAAATGCGTAGTTTTCCAAGAAGTTTTATTAATAATACCACATTAATGAAAGTGTCAAGGAAAAGATTGAAAACATTATTCCTTCTGGCATACCAGACGATTTGTATAACAATATATACCGAGAATTTCTACTACGTCATGAGCGATTGAATTGAGGTAGGTTAATGACTTTAGGCCAGTGACATATATCTGATGTTACCAAGAAGAATTATTGACTTTATAAATTGTGACATATTATTTAATAATATTTAGGTTGAAAAAAAAGATATTATTTTTTAATAATTGAAATATTTGTATAAGTAATTTATCTCTATTTATCAATAATTATTCAATCCAGTTGTGTATTTACGGAGGGGATCTATAAAGTCCGGACCCCCAATTGCCCCTAATGTGTACCATATTACCAATATGGTACACATTAGTTTTTTAAATAATCACGAAAAAAAATGTATTATTAAATTATTATGCGAAGTTGCCACGTTCCAGTTGGAAATAGAAAAAAAACCGTTACCTATTAACTTCAATAATTTTCGTTTATCAGTTCATCAGTAATCTTGATTATTTTTATTATTAATTTGGTACTGACCAACGCACGCTCTCTCGACAGTCGACTTTAGTTTGCTTTTGGAATTTTGGAAATTGTGTACCTATTTCCTTTTTTTTTTTTTAAATAACATAATAACATAATTTTCACGAAAATATGACGTCTAACGTATCACGTGGCAATAATGAAACTAAAGAATATGAATATGTTAAGATCACTCAATGACGACAATATGCAAAATGTGAATAAATAATTTAACACTTGGGTATGTGAGGGTATGCATCATGTAAAGTGAACCCTCAAGTATCTCATGTAGAAGATTATTATAAAATATAGAGTGACAGTGTTGAAGCCATATATAGACAATTTTATCAGCTTAAAAACTAGATTTTTAAATTATAAATCAGTTTTTGAAGGTATAACTGTTGGTATTTGAGAATTTGTTTAGTTTTATTGAGTTTTATTTACTACCAATTGAAAGTAATAATGTTTGTGTTTAAATAAAAATATAAAAAAAGAAAATAGCCAATCAAGAAGTTAAGGTCAAAAGTGGATTAAAAACACTTTTAAGCTGCCAGTAGAATGATTTTCTAAATGTAAATTTTTTTATTTTAATTATTTTGCACATGGCCAACATGCAACAGAAACACTAGAAAAATATTTTTCAAAACATATCTAAGATCAACAATGAATGAAATAATCTTTCAATTATTTTGGAAATATACAGTGGATATATAACATATTATTGTATGTTTAATTGTATTGTTATATAGACGAAGGTAAATGGACTAGCAATGATGTTCATTCATCAAGACATACATTTTGATGTGGATGAAATATTAAATGAACTATCAAAGTCTGAAGAAACTAGATTTTGTGTCATAAATGTGATTTTCTGTGATCAAAAATAAATAATTATTAGCATCAATATTTTTTTTTTTTTCAATACATTGTAACAAATAAAATTCCTATTTCAGGTGTGATGGGGGAGAAACAAAGTCAACCATGTAAATGTGTTTGGAAAATTATGAGAACTCTCTCCATGAAAAATTCCTAAATACGCTACTGATTCAAACCATCAAAAAATGATCAAGTAACTTAACTGTATGTATACATAAGAACTCATAATTATTTACTTAATTTACTATTTAAGTACCTACTAATCTAACCTCCTACACATTAAAGTGGTTGGATTAGTATCGTTTTTAACAAGAAATTGTAAAGGTTCAAATTTCTTAACTTTTCATCCAAAAAAATCAATAATTTAGTGTGATGGTACCTACCTTCAGTGTGTCCCACCGTGTTCGACGAATTTTTCTAGCAATGTTAATATGAAATTGTTTTTGTTTTTTTTTTTCGATCGGTTTATTTTCGAGGAGGACATCGATTTAGTCAATGAAAGTTCGATAAAATGTTAAGACATTTGAATTTAAAAAAAAAAACGGACATTTTTCGCATTAGGCGTGGGCCACTGTTGTAGGTAAGAAGTTGGATAGTAGAAAAAACATTTAGTATATATCTGTACACGATTACTCATTGCTAACGAAAAATGATTTCGAGCGGTGTTCAGTTACGGAATATAATGTTGCTTTCAAACTTTAATACTTATTACCTCTTAAAAAAAAATTCTACATTACACTCAACTTTTTTTTGTTGACTACAAAGTACGAATTAAAATAAACCTCCTATTAAATTTCCTAACAATTTTATCCACAAAGTACCTAGTGAACAAATATTACGTAAAAAACCCCGTAAAGTTAAAATGGTTATGAATAGCTCAAAAAAGACAATGTTTTGAACATTTTATCACGTCTAAAAAAGGCAAATATAAGTTTTCTATCCAAATTTCAAGTCTCTACAAATATTTTTAACTAAATCAAAACAAAACAAAATAAAAAACAAATTGAAAATAATACATTTCGTAAATGTTCCCGTTTTTTCTCCATTTATTATGAAAACGACTGGAAAAATCAAAAACGATCTCCCTAAATCACCACCCCAGTGAAATTTTCTTTCATAAACAGTGTTACACTTGAAAATCGAAGCAAAATTTCTGACAGAAAAGTTGTTCACAGGTAAAAAAAAAATACAAATTTTTTTTAATACATTTATAAATTATTATAATAGCATATATAAATAATAAATAATTGATTACAAATCATTAAATATTTGTAGTTTTTGGATGTAAAAATTTTAAAAAGTGTTCGGTTTAAACCTTCTAAATGTTTGCGGTTTTCACCTACCAAAAGTGTGCGGTTTTGTCCTGTATTTTATCACAAATGTGCGGTTTTTGAAGTCAACGACTCGTCCGATATAAACGGTTACTAGTAGTGTTTACAATATTAATGTACCTGTTGTTCAATGCACCCACGTATTAGTGTAATAAAATCAAATTGTTTTACTTACCTACGTTTATAAATCTCTTCGTATTCTTTGAATATAATATTAGACAGACAAATCAGCAACTCTTCTCTATATTTATAACTTGGTGTCAGTTTAGTTTTAATAAACAGTATAGATACGTTAAATTAGCTGTGTACGAGTAAGCCAATCGATAAATTGTGATGACCACTGTCAAATTTTTAATATCATATACTTACATTAAGTACCAGCTATCGGACTTGACCTGAAAACGTTTATAAATCACCCACATCAACTCAATTCACAACGAATCGTGATAAAACAAAATAGCCATATTAAATATTATACCTATTACCTACATATCACACGGTAAACAGTTATACTGCAGTTAATTCGTATTAACTACTAGAATTATTAGAATTAAAATTAAAATTAGTGTTAATTATTAATTCTCAGAGCGAGTATTTGTTATCGAATTGGTAATTGGAATGTAATAAAAGTGAATCACGAATATTACTTATATAATAAACAATTGAGTAATATACAATATTAACAAAAATTAAACGAACGTTGAATTACAATTTATTTGGTAGGTTGGCACCCACAATAATTATAATCATCCAAGGATGAATGTTTATAAATATTGTTGTGTTACATAAAAACGGTCTCGGTAAAATAATTTTCGCAATAATTTGTTTTGTCTCAACGAAATTACACGGGATTATTAAGTTTATAACAATATAAATCCGCTGATAAAAACTAAAACAAATCAAAAGGGCATCGTAAATATATTTACAAAAGTCACGTGACGTGTCTAATGGTTCACAAAAATATGTAGATATTTTTTATCTATAATTCACAGCGTAAACAAAAAAATTAATTTAATAAATCGCGCATCGCCGTGTTTAAATACAACAAACGTGTAGTTAATAACAATACAATTATATTTCCTCGCGTCGAGCGCACTACCCGTAAAGTTCTGAATGAGAGGACACGAGGACAAAGAGTTTGGTAAAAACTCAATAAAAAAAGGAGAAACTTATCCCCTCAACGCCAAAAGGTAATAAACCACAACACACACACGCACAATATAAATATTTAATACATTTATATTTGAAATCTATATATTGTTATTTTAACAGTATAGGTACTCGACAATTTCATGATAATATTAACATTGAGATATCCTGTGTGTCACTATACTGTAACCTGCGAATAAGAAAAACAATATGTAAATAAAATTATGTACCTACCTACATTGCAGTTGAATGAACTATGTGTAGCGATACGAAAATTATACACGTAAACGGAATTTAAAATTGGCAAACTTTGTGACGTACGCATTTTCATGTTGTAATAATGCATTATTGTTGAAGTTATAGTTAATTTTAAAATAAATTGGGTAGTGCATTTTTTGATAAGGCAAAACGTTACGGTGACAGTCGGTAAAGTACCCAACCGTTTTCGCCCGGGTGACAGCCGGAGATTTGCTTTTCGGCCGCTTGCTCGGCCCGTTCGAAAACCAAGCGATCGTGTAGCCGGTCGCTCTGTCCTTGCCAAAATTCCATCGTTCGCGGTACGATTTTGTAGCCGTTCCTGCGACATGGTAATGCAAAAACGACCGGTGTAAATATTTAATACAAATATTATCTAAATTTTACGACGTTTTCTCTCACCAATACGACGGTTTAGGCACCGGTTTATCCGCGTATTCGGCCTCGAGTTTTTCGTTCAGTTCGGACAGCACTTCTCGGCCGGCTATCACCGTACTCTGTCGGCTCACGTGCGCGCCGATCTGACTGGCTTTCGGTCTCGTGTTGAAATACTCCGCGGACTCGGATTCGCCGAGTTTATCCACGGACCCTTCTATCCGGACCTGCGTAATATAGAAACCCGAGCGCCGTATAGTATTAGGAACGCGAAAATTATCGATCATATTCGTCGTTATAATTTTAATAATATTATTATCGTATATGGTACGGTTAATGTTGTAAAATCGGTAACAATTCATTATATTTATACTTTTTGTACATAAAAATCGATTTTGTACTGTTAGTTTTAATATTATAGAGTATGTTAACTATGACTCTTACACATGTACAGTATCACTTCTGGTGTACCTCGAGGATTCTAACTCCACTTCTCTTCGATATTAATGTTAATGATATAAGTGTTGTTAATTTAAAAATATAACTCTTTGTGTGGATGATCTTAAACTGTTTCAGAAAAACCTTGACTATATTAGCCATTGGTGCGATACCAATATGTTGAGTTTGTATGTTTCAAAATTTAAAATCATTACCTTCTCCAAAAAGCGTTCTTCTTTTATTGGAAAATATATGTCCAAAATAATGTTGAGCTATAACGAGTTGATTTAGGTGTTTATCTTGATTAATCTCTCTCACTCGATGAAAATTATGTATACATACAAAATAAAGCCTCATCATTGTTGGGCTTTATAAATCGGAGCTGTAATAATTTCAAAAATTTCATCGCTCCTAAGTCGCTCTACTGTTCCATTTTCCGATCAATTTTGGTTTACAATTCAGTAAGTTGGTCGCCTTATTCAAACGATCAAATCCAGTCACTTGAGGCGATTTAAAATCGTTTTTTAAGGCTCTTGAGTGTTAAGTACAATATTAAACGTCAACCACATTCATCTTATCAGCCAATAATATTTAAAGCTTGACACTCTACAAGTTAGAGAGTAACGCAGGACATCTGTTTTATGTTTAAACTGTTGAACGGTATGTTCAAACTTAATTTTTTAGTCCCGAGTTATACAATCACAGGTTGTGATACTTTTTATGTCCCATTTTATTAGCATACTTTATGTTCCATAATTCCCCTTTTTTTCAGAATATATTATTTATATTTTTGTTTGTGATAGTGTAAATTCTTTTAATCTATAGGTACATTAGTTCTGCAATCACCTAATTTTTTTTTTTTTTTTTTAGTCTTTAAATTTAAATATTATTAAATTGTAGGTCCTGTGTACAATTGTAATTGGACTTTCGCTTGTTTAAATTACAATAAATATATATATATATATATTTATATAGATTGGTCTAACGTTTTATCAAACGTAAACGTAAGAACGTTGTCTGTGTTTATGTGTGGGTATTTAGCCTGATTTGATGATTTTTTTTATGTTGTAATATTTTATATATTCGTAATTTACTTGAGAATTAAATTAAACTAACAGCACATAATTTGTTAAGTATAAATATAATGATATTAACAGTAACATATTATGTTATATATATATACAGTGAAACCTCTATTAATAGACACCTCTAGATAGTGGACCCTTTCCAATAGTGTATCCTTTTAAATTCCCCGGCCAAAATGTATGTACATAATAGGAGTTACGGGTATAACCTCTTAATAGTCCTTATAGTGGACGTGAACACTAAAAAATGGTACTAAAATTAAAAATGACCTCTTATAAATGGACACAATACATGTACATATAGAAAATGTTAAAGTAATAAAAAAAACTATAATTATCTTTTATACATTTCGTTCATATTTTATCTTATCTTAAAGATTTTCCTATTCGACAAATGACAAATGGTTCAGTTATTAGTCGATCATCAGTTGTGTGCTAAAAAAATGTACATAAAAAAGATTACAGATTTTTAATAATAAATAAACATTTAACATTTTTATATCTAAATTTGAATATATATATATATATATATATATATATATAATAAATTAAAATTAAAATTAAACTATTAATCATATTTTTACAAATAATTAATATATTACAATACATTTTATAAATTATAATAAATAATATCAATTTTAATGTGTATGTACACATATAGCCAATTCTCTATAGCGCCTCCCTACAGTGGACATTATGTAATTTCTTGCAAATGACCACTGAGCAGAGGATATTTGAATAATAGACAACTCCCTATATTGGCCATTTTTTATTTCTCCATAACTGTCCACCATATAATTTCACTGTATATATATAGAATGTCAATTATGTCCAATAATTTTTCCAATAGGTACATAATACTATAGGCCAAACCAAAATAGTTGGGATGAAGCTAAAGAGGAATAGGTACATAATATTATAGTGTTGATATTAACGAAGTTAGTAGAAGACCGCTTGATGCATTCGAAATGTGGTTTTGATACAGATGAAAGGAAAAAATAATCTGGACGGACGGAAACCCACAGGAAGATCAAGTTGGGAAAGTAGGATATAGAGGAGATTTTAATGTATCTGTACGCAACGATAATTCATTGCTAACTAAAAACGATTCTGAGCGGAGTTCGGTTATACATGTTTGAAAATGCCGTAATATTTAATATTCTCATCAAAATTTGAGGTAATTTTTACTACAAAGAACGACTTATAATGAATTTCCTGTTAAATTTTCAAGCATTTCTATTTGGTCTTACAATTGTATCCACAGAGTACCTACCGAATAAAAATTACATAAAAAAACTCGCAAAATTAAAATGTCTATAATTAAATCAAAAATGGCTGAAATATTTTGAAAATATTACCGTCTAGAAAAGACAAATATAAATATGACTTTTCTGTCTAAATTTCAAGTCGTTAAGAATATTTTTAACTGAACCATAACAAAAATCAAAATTAAAAATAATAAATTTCGTAAATTTTCCCGTTTTTTCTCAAACATTATGAAAATCAAAATATTACCTTTTATTAAAGGACCAACCAAAGAAGATTTTCTTTTAGAAAAAGTGCTACATTTGAAAATCAGGACAAAATTAAAAAAGTTGTTCACAAGAAAAAAAAAATAAAAATAAACATCATTGCAAAACCAATACATTCCTCGATCCACTCTAAGAGATGCGAGGATAAACGTAATATTGATTACCCGTATGTACATTAGACACCAAATGATTAACCGATGTTTATATTTACCGATCTGTCCAACGCGTCCCAATATATCGTCATGGCCGCCACAGGGTTTTCATCCTACACATAAACAATTTGGTAACCATAATAATTTTTTATTTTAAATACGATATAGGTATTCGCATGAACATCGGAAATAAACGACTAAAAATATTTCACCGCGAGTCTCGTATATTATACTTACGTGTGGAAGTCCGGTACGTTTGGAAATACGTTTCGGGCCAAATTTTCAAAATGTAATTTGGGTAGGTGAAAACCCGATGAAAACATAAACATTTACTGTAGGTATTTGCCGTTTTGGAATATTTTAGCTCTACACGACGTTGTAACGTTTTATAAATATGTATTATAATATTATACTTACAAGTTCTCGGCCTTTACGACTCTCTGAGTTCGTATAAAACGTGAAACCCGATTCGTCGAAACTTTTGAGCAAAACAAATCTAGCCGACGGAATACCAGACCTATACAAACCCATACAACAAGGAAACATGATAACTATTTTAAAATAACATTTTCAGAAATACGTAAATATTATGTTCAAAATATAAAAATTAGTTGGCAACTGCTGACCGTCACCGGTTAATGTCGACATTACACTAGTCATTGGTAAATGTTGGCATATTGATTACATTTTTACTAATTGTCAATATTTATGTAACGATTTTGGTGAATGACGGTATAATACCGATATTGTTTTGTTTTAATAATAATATAGTTATTATTTATCTGTCATGATTAGATATGCTAATTAGTACCTATACAATAGTATAGGTAATTAACAACTTGTTCATAGTTTTATAAATGTTTTAATTAAAACAAAAGTTTCTTCCGGACAAATTTGAGGAAGTCCGTATTCGAGTTCCAGATGTTGATGATAGTGGTAAAATAGATTCTTAACACATTTTAGCCGTAATATTAGATACATAGTAGATAATGATTTTTATAAATTAGCTACCAAGAATGGTCTTGTTAATCGATTATGCGCCAGAAATCACTTTTCGGTACCTATGCAAAGAAAATTGAATATCAATCGCTAATCTACTAAAGAATCGACAAATTTCCTTAAGGCAAGTTTCTGCATCGAATTTATCAATTCGTAAGCAAGGATATACGCGATGTAATTGCAAAACAAAGTGCACCAAAAAAAAATTTGGTTGTAAAAATGTTGGAATTATATGTAACACAAAATGTCATGACAGTTTGTCATGTTGCAATGAGTAATAAAATAATTAACAGTTAATAATTTTTTTACGGTAAAATAATCATAATTTAAATTAATGAAACAAATATAATATTGTTTAATAATAATAATTTGCTGATTAAATTAAACACGAACCTATTTGATATATTGTATAATAATATTATAGGCTATAGTCTACACAAAGTGCAAATACGTATATTAACCAAAACCGCGTTGTGTATGTCAACATTGACCGGTAAATATCTAACTTTTTTATAATTTTTCAACATTCACCAATTTAGGTGTATGCCGAACACCGGTGACTGTAAACATTCGCCAACTGCGGACATTTACAGTAACGCGTATATATGTAATATATACATTATAATTGAAACGTTTTTCGAGGCGTAAGATTTACCCGTAAAGTTATTTACGCCGGTAAAAAACGGCCGTACCTATTATTTGTTGAAAATAATTTTGAAATTTTACAAAACTGGAGACAATTTGGTAAACCGGCTCCAACGGTCTTAACGGGAATTTAACAAACGTTTAGTTTGTTTTTTTTTTTTTATTTTTGTGTTATTGTTTCGATCAAATAAAAAACTATGTAGGTATATATATAGGGTGGATAAAAAAATGAATAATATTATTATTAGTCATTACTTGGTAGCCGTGGCCAAACAAGCGGCGTTGGGCTGTCTCACGTCATCGCGTTCCGAAGCTTTTTTGAACCATATGTCAAACAATTGGAACGGGTTTTTCGATTCCAAACTATTTTCGATTAACAAGTCGCCCTTGTCTCGGTACGAGACTCTCAACTCTGTAAAATAACAATACATAAACAATCGATTTTACGCGCGTCAGATACAACGAAAAATCGACAAATGCAGATAGGAACCCATTATAATATAGAAATTATATATTTTCTTTTTGCGATTTAAATTGACGATAAAATGGTTAAGTATAACTTCCGATCTAAGCAAAGTAAAGGTAAGTAAAAATTGATAAATTTCAGATTTCTATAAAATGGGTTACTTACCTAAATGTACAAAATACAATTATATAAGTATATTAATGTTTATAAAAATATACCAAAATAAATATCCCAAAAAAGATCATAAAATACAACAATAAAACAAATACCATAACTCTATCCACGAAACCCAGTTTTAAATATTTCTGTAGAGACTTGAAATTTTGACAGAAAACTTATATTTGTCTATTCTAGACGTGGTAAATTTTTGAAAATTGTTATCCATTTTTGAGTTATTTATAGGCATTTTAATTTTGCGAATTTTTTACGTCATTTTTATTTGGTAAGTACTCTGTGGACAAAATTGTTAGACAAAACAGAAATACTTGACAATTTGACAAGAGATTATACGCCGTATTTTGTGGTGAAAAAAATAAGTTGAGTGTAATGTAGTATTTTTTTTTTTTTTTTGTACAAGTTAAAATCAAATTTTGACGAGAATATTAAATAGTACGGCCTTTCGAAATATGTATAACCGAACTTCGCTCCAAATCGTTTTTCGTTGGCCATGGTTTATCGTTGAATCCAAATATGAATTAAATCAATTTATGTATCCTACCTTCCTAACTTCCCACTTACAACAGTCGCTTCACCCGTCCCCAGTATCAGATCTATTTTTATTGATTTCTTATGATATGATTTCTTCGTCAACAATAGTTTACATCTTAAGTCTTTCATCGTTGGTTACATGTATAAATTAAATAACTATGTATCCCACCTTTCCAACTATCCACCTTACAACTGGTTGACCACACCCGTCCTCAGTATCAGCACATTTTCAATATCAATACCGATATTGAATAATATCTAAATTAAAAAATACCTGTAATAATAATCTAACAGAGAAATATCTTATTTATTTACATTCCCCTTTTTTTCGTTTTGTATAACAAAAATTGTGATATCACGTTAATAATTATTAAAAAAATAATTATAGTACACTATTTATAATCTATAATCTTCTTGTTGTATTCCAATTAAAACGGTTTTTTTTTTTATTTATTTAGTATGTACCTACATTATGTCTTTCGATACAATATAGTGTTGTATAACGTTGTTTTATTATCGCTAATTAAATTGTATTTTTCTTGACGGTATCTAAGTACTCAAATTATAGTTGATGTTTTATTTTTATATCGCATTGATGACACACGCACAAATAATTATAATACGTTCAGACGGACATACTTCGCACGACGGGTGGGCCACTGTTGTAAGCAGGCCCGTATTAAGATCTAAAGTGCTCGTAGGCTGTAAAAAGTTTAGTGTCCCTGTTTTACTAGCCTTTTATAAAAATATTTTGTTAATATTTAAAAATATGGTGTATACATTTTTTTTCATTTTTTAATAAATGATCCATCATTACTCAACCTGCATAAATAATATTTTGGGTTCATTGATTATATCCATATTACATATATCCATGTGTATACTGCACATGTATATATGTACAAACAAGTAAATACATGAAAATTAAGCAAAATTTTTTTAGAAATATTAAACATATATAATAACCATAAATAAAATGCTGTCCTAGAATAATTGGAACAGACTGCAGTCACTTTTATAGGTGAGAAGTTAGGAAAGTTGTAGAGGCGAAATTGAATGTATATCTGTACGCAACTATTAACCATTGTTAACGAAAAACGATTCTGAGCGGAGTTCGGTTGATAGTGTTACTTTGTTAACAATATATATGCCATATTATGGTAACATATGCAATATATATTTTCTTTGATAATATTATTTATTTAATATTGCACCTATTTTCCCATTTTTCCTACGTTTTTCCCATGTATAGGGAAAACTCCTGAGAAAATCAAAAATTACCTTCTTGAAGTACCACACCCCAGTTAGATTTTCTTTCAGAAAAAGTGCTATCGTTGTAAATCGGAGAAAAAATGCTAGAAGAAAAGTTGTCCGCAGAAAAAAAAAATAAACATTGTAAATCCAATACATTCCTCGCTACGCTCCGAATCTAAAATTAATATTAACATAAACCATTATTTATATATTTTTTTTTTCTTGCTTTTTGATGGGCAAATGTGTTAATAATTGACCTCAAATAGGACTTTACTCTTTTGAGAACGGAAAAAGCCTTCTCACCTAAGCAGTTTGGAACTGCTGTACTAATACATACTTATAATTATTTCTAAATTTGGAATCATCATTCAGATTAATTTCATCCACAACACGGTTTAACTAAACGTACGATAAAAGTGGAAACAATCCTATATAAGTAGCTACACCGGGAACTTTAAGACGTTCGTTTTAATTATGTCTCGAAATTAAAAGCAAAATACGTTTGATAACAGTCAGACTGAGCTCACCACGACAAAATGGTCGATGCACTGTGATACCGGCTTTAATTTACGATTTCAGATATTTTAATAAAAATAACATCAGGGGAGTATGCGGTGCCCCGAAGTCCGTGGTTGTGTAGGCTGCAGCCTACAATGCTTACGCATTTATACGGGCCTGGTTGTAGGTGAAAAGTTGGAAGGGCGAGTCCCTATTCGGCCAAAATGAACCTTTGATATATTTAATATCTTTTACAAAATGGTTATTTTAAATATGTTAAATAAAATAAAGTTATTTTTTTTTTTCAATTATTAAGGGATGAGTATAAAAAATTAATTCATCTCTACATATATGTCTCCTCGCACGAAACTTGATTGAAAAAAAAAAATGTAATAATAAATGAATAATGACAGAATTATTAGCATAAGGATAGTACTTTATGACACTCTGTAAAACATACGAAATTTTCTGTTATTTATAAATTACTTTTTATAATCTACTGCAGTCATGATGTGCAATGCGTGTGCAATGGTCAGTTATATTTAAAATAATTGCGGTAAACGGCATCGTGTATTTACGTCGACGGTAATTACACCAATGATATATTTTTGAAATCGTTTGATTGTCCTAAGTAGGGCATTTTTCAAAGTTAAAAGAACACAACATAGTCATCTGTCCTTGTGCCGGGACTAATCCAGCGATATTAATAATTTGAAATTCGAGCAATATCGAGACAGAACATTGTCGATAATTGTAAATAATTCACTGAGTAGTTTGGTCTGGTACACATGATTACCCATGATGCGGTATCATTATTTTCGTAAATGACTGTGTGACATTAGCTGTCCATACTCGTCCCCGACAATTTCGTTTATTATAATGTATATAAATTTCCAAATGTGCTTGTCTTTTACTGCATTGTCAGTTGTACACAACGGTGCACCATGGTACACCAAATACTCATTGCCCTTCTAACTTAATACAAACTGGAGTGGCATGGTGACAAAAGTCTGTCGGGTTCAACTGTTTAATTAATTATAATTTATCTAATATTTATAATTAATTAAATTATTGTTGATGGAGAAATTTGTTTTCCGTTGTCCGTGCGCCGGTACGTAATATAATATCGACTGGTTTAACGACGGCCGTCCGACTCCCATTAGTTTTATCGGCTCACCAGAAAAAAACAAATCAGCGCCTAAATGAATTTCAAAATAATCAATATATATTGCTGGATAAGCCCCATCACAAGGACGAAGGAACAATATCCGGACACAGCATTGCGGATAAAAGAAATTGTTGAAGATTCCGAAAGTCGTGATACCAACGATTATTTACAGGGAATATCGCTGACAATCTCCAATTTCAAACTACTTTGTGAATTATTATTAGTTTATCGGCAATGATCCGTCCATCGATATTGCTCGAATTTCAAATTAATAATCAGTCAACACGCGATATAACGGGGCACGATACGACAAATGAAACTGTCGGTCGCGTTGAAAATCTCGTGATATTTTGACGAAAAATTACATGTATTTTTGTCCCTTCGATATAACGAAGTTGATTTGACCAAAGCTCTCGCGATTGTAACGAATGTATACGTTATCGGAGCTTGGTATTACGAATTTGTAATTTGTATTGATACATATGTATACAAAATACACGTCTGCTGGTATATGATGATAACGAAAAATATAAAATAATAATAAATTGCTATTATTGATTTCTATTACGGAGTTTATCATGCGATAAGATAAAATTCGTAACATGTATATGTAATAAACGATAAATAACTACTCATTGCATATGTAATAGATAATAATAAATAATGATTCACATGGGCGCCGACTTCGTGGGAGCAACGCGGGCAAATAACCCCGTATTTCAATTATAACGGAGATAAACGTAAAAAATAATATTTCGCTTTTGTATATAAAAATCATTTGATTGTTACTATAGCATTTAAAGCTAACGAGTTTTGACATGGAAATATTTATCGAAAAAACTTAGTCTAATTGTCTTAACTTATATTAAATATGGCTAGGGATAAAATACCACGCTTATGACGTTATATGTACCACCCAGATAAATTTCGTTTCAGAAAAAGTGCTTCAATTGTAAATCGCAGCAAGATTTCGGGTAGAAAAGTTGTTCGCAGAAAAAAGAAACATGTACAATTTAAATGATTTTTCTATGTAATACCTAACATAAAAAAGTCAGTACCTACAAACATTGACTTTGAAAAACAGTTGAGTAATGAGTTGAGTTAGGTTGTTTGTTGCATACTTAACAAAAACAAATTAAATCAAAAATTTAATGATTTATTAAGAATATTATGTCCCCATAGTTTTAGGTAACATTCCTTTGAAAATATTACCCTCATTTGCTGTATCAGATTAACTTACAGGCAACATAGCAAATACATCTTTACACTTCATTTTGCAGACATAGTAGAATTCGTTTGATTTTGGTTTCAGAGTTAACGCAACTATTATAAAATTATATGATAAAAAAACATTTTGGCAGACAATAAGGGTTTTTGTTTTGTAAAATAATTTCTGGCGTTTAATAATCTTAAAATATTTGTTATTTATTAACTATGTATGATACATATATTATATTTGAAATAATGGGGAACTAATTTTCTGATGTTCCCCGTTAGTTGGACTACAAAAGAAAATAAAATTAAAATGTCCTCTTAACGTTTCCCTCGTAATGGTACAGAAGACTATTTGAACACTTAGCTTAATCAGCAATCATTAGCTACTGTAATTACACACTGTAATATTTATTTTAAAAATATTACCACTCTATTTATTGCAATAATTTAAACCCAATGTTAGAGAGACCTGTGTTATTTTATTTGAAGTGACTAGTTTACTAGAGATCAGTTTATAGATAGCAGGCAATAACCATAAAATATATAATACTATATGTATTAATTACACAATAAATGTAACCTTGATTGTAGAAATCTTAATTTATGGTATTACATTTTAACTTTTTATTGTTTGCATTTAATCGAATTGAGATAGAGAATAAGCTATTTCTACTATAAACTTGCCTATTAATTTTATCTAATAAAAGCAATATTTGATTCATTTAAACAAGTATAATTTGAAAATCTAGTCATGGCTATAACTTAATTAAGATGAGACATTAATAGTATAATGTTAGTCTTAGAATGACAATCAAAAGATACTTGACAAGAAAAATTATTATACTCAGATTAATGCCTTTCAATATTAGAAAACTATAAAAATAATAAATCACTTTTAGAAACCTGCATATTGTATTTTATTTTTGTAATTGTAAATTCGTAAAATATAGCAACTGTCGTATGGTAATATTATAGGATTAAGCAATGATCAATAGTGTGTACACCAGATTACACAATACGGTAATTTTCTATAAGATTTCCTGCAAGATTACCAAAAATTTGTACACTGATTTCAGTTAGCGGTTTACCCTCTAGGTAACATACTAGGTCTCTTTTTAAATCATAATAATTAGGGATCTATAAACATTATACACTTATAATAATAATATAGTTTTAATTGTATGATTGGGTTAAAAACTGAATAACATTTAAATGGTTTGTAAGCAATTCTATTATAATATCAAACATATGGTTAGCAAAAATAAACAATAAATTAAATATTATTTAAAAATATAAAAATGTCTATAATAATTAATTAGTTACTTAATGGTTAACAATCAAATAATTTGACTAATTATAATCAATTGTATAAAATAAGTTCATCATTCAATCATTTGGTCAAGTATACTCATCTATGATTTGATTAAATCATTTATTAAAATATTTAATTGACATAAAAAATAAATTTTATATATTATTTTAGAAGGAAAAACAAAATTATTATTGTACTACCTAAAATAGGTGGATATTTTAATATTTTTTTTTTTTTTGTTAGTATTTAATGTTTTCCCAAAAAAATAACTTACTGCATTCTAGAAAGTAAAAGTAAGGCAAAAGTACATAATATTAGGTTTACCTAAAAAATTCAACCATGAAAAATAATTTTTAATTACTGTGCAGCAAAACTAGTCGGTTGTAGTGTGAAAAATCTGAAAAATGTGATGTCTAACGATTTCCTAAAAAAATAAATGACAGTACGTCTTACACCGTAATGAAATTGTCTAGGCAAAATGGATTACTTTAATACAGTTCAAAAGATCAAGAAAAATTGTCAATAATTATTAATCACAATGGCACTGGAAATGTTGTTCTTAGACTATCAATACTCTCGGCATAATAATCAGGAACTAACTCTTGTAAAGTAGGATCATCTGATTTGTTCCATTCTTCCACATCTTTCAAACTATTCACACCGGTCAGTACCAACAATGTTTTAAACCCACAGCGTTTACCCAATAATATGTCAGTGTTGCAACGGTCACCAATCATTAGAGTTCTGGAAGGATCGATCTTATGGGTTTCCGTTAAAACATTACAAATGAAACAAGACGGTTTACCAAGCACAAACGGTTCTCGTCCAGCACATGTTTTTACAGCACATACTATACTGCCTGTACCGGGCATTACTAGATCTGTACCGGCTAAAGGAAAACTCTCGTCGGTATTAGTTGCCACGAATAAAACATCTTGGTCCTTTAAGTATGATGCTGCTTTAAATAACTTTGGGTAACTAAGATGTTCGTCGAAACCTACTAAAACGGCACCTACATCAGGTTCTAGCTTCATGTTTTCCACAAACTCTGGTACGGAAGTTTTTAAATAGTCCTGACCAACTCCAAAATTTTTCACGTCTAACATGTTCAATTCACAGGCTATAGCTGGCGATCCGATTATGTATACTCGTTTGGATGGATCGAGATTGGCTTTCAAGTATTTAGCAGCCAAAAAACTAGTACTGATTATTTCATTCGGAGATGCTTGAAATCCGAGTGAATCAAACTTCTCCAAAAACTGTACTTGCGTTTTGGTACTGTTGTTGGTTACGAAAAATACTTTTTTGTCATTTTTCTTGAAACCATTCATAACTTGTGTCGCACCGGGTATAGCGTTGTTCATGAGCCAAAGCACTCCATCGCAGTCGGTCAGTACAGTGTCAAACGAGTTGAAGAAGTCCTGACGGCCTTCCGGTGACAGTGTGTCAATGCATGTGGACATCATCTTCGTTATTTTCGTATTTAATTTCCTAACAAAGAAAAATGACGATATTGATTTCGACAACATGACCGTTGCAAACACTAAGGTAGGCTTATATTATGTACAAACAAAGGTGTTTGGAAACTGTATTTCAAATTTTTCTAAACGATTAAAGCATAATGTACGAGAAAAAATAATTTTAAATGTTTACAAAAACTTACGTGCAACACTAAAATCTGCCATACGGATAGTACCAGTTGATAAGCGACGAAGACAAAGTTTCGACAAATTACCGCTAGAGATCATATAAATAACTGATGATTGATTTTTTTTTTTTTTTTTTCCTAAACGTGCATCTGTAGTAACATGTGTAGCACTCGTGCAGAACGGACGAGGACAAACGGACAACAACGGATGAAGAACGTTCCGAAAACCGGGGTCGCGTCAATTGGACGTCGAATAATGTTATCTAATCTGTTATCCGCGGCGGCGAGGTGACTCCCGAGGAGTAGGGTGGGCGTTGGACGATTGAACGTCGGTCCATATCACTACACGACCTACAATCTACACGGCGCTTACCGTGGTAAATACACCTTGGATTTTATCACTAATGACTAACGAGGCGCGTTTACGGTTTTCAGCGGCCGGGTCACCAGTCTCATTAGTACTCAAGTTTCGGCGACACGGTTCGCTGTAATTGTTCGATAGCTGAACGCACTTTTCGGCAACCGGGTGCCCGGGATCAGCGAACAATTGTTAACTACGTTTACTGTTTTCCGGTCACTAATAACCTAATTGATAAGTACTATCATTCTATCCGTATCTATCTGATCATCCCCGATCCGTTTTAATTAGTAATTAATTAGGTTTATTAAGTGTTATACCGCACGATCTTAGGTGGCTGAGACGTAGATATTGTTATGGATGTCATCTATATCTGTGCAGTAAACAAAATGGAATTGACGAGTAACCGGCCAAGTAGCAAATAATTCGGAAAACTGTTTACTGAAAATTGCATCGCCAAAACACGCCCAAAGTCAATGAAGCATAATGTCAATTATATTATGTTTATTCGTTCGACACGTTCAAATAAATTTAAAAAGTCAATGAATATAATATAATAATATGAATGTAAAACTTGATAACTAAAAAGCGAAGACTATATAGACGATAGGCGACTTTCATTCTAATATGAAGTTATTATATCTGGTCGTTATTTAGCGAGTAGTTTTCTCATAACAATAGTCTTTGAATAACTTATAAACTACGATGTATTGGGTAGACGCCATTTTTTTTTTTAAAAATTAATCTCAAAAATAATTGTAAAATACATTTTAAAACCTGTTCAAAAATGATAGTATAAAACTCCGTGAATTAAATAATTAGTTGGGTATCTAGTTACAGTTATTTTTTTTTTTTTTGGTTGTGTATTATAGTTCGTTTTGTTTTCTTCGATAAATTAATAGGTACCTAAAAACATATATACTTTTAATAAAAACTACAACATGTTTTTAGATTAATAGAGTTAATATGTTAATATCATTACGTAATGCATCTGATTAGTAAACACTTGAATTGACAATTGTATTGTACATCAAAAACACTATAGTTATAACTGTTATTGTTATCGATTTGAAAAACCTAAATTAAAAACGAAATCGTAAACGTGCAAAACAGTGCGTGGTTTAAATCTTTGATGATTCGTTTACAATAAATTACGCATAAAACACAAGAACACAAAAATAAACTAAAATGTGTTGTTATAGTTTTAGCTAAACGTTAATGAAATTATCAATTTGTAATTACGAGGAAATTATTTAATTGTAACAATTACTATTTTCGTTACTGGGGTGCAAAAAATTAGTTATTTGTCGACGCTTGGAAGCCGCGTTCAAACATGAGTTAATAAAACAATAATGTACGATGCATGCATACAACAAATAGTAAAAAATAGAACGTCGCGAACGCAAATCGGAATAATTGGAAAAGGGCCAACACTTCATGAATGTCATGTGTCGTGGAGAACTGATTATTTCCGTTGAACAATATTAAATTTGTCCGGCCGGCGGCGTTATTTCAAAAAAAAATACCCCATAGAAAATACTGACCGACCCGGTTTTCGTTCAATCCATAAATAATATTATCTAATGATACGCAACAAAAACAAACATAATTCCCAAATATATTGTAGATTTCTATTTAAGAACCCCACACGTATAAGGAAAATATATACAAATATATTCATGTTTCGTTAAAATATTTGTTTCGGTTTCTGTTGTCTGAGTTGACTGTACTTATTGTACACAATTTTTTAAATGAGCACCACCAATTGTTTTACCCGCGAGCCGCCACTGACTTACGCATGACCGTACACCCTACAATGCACGTCTGCTTATACAGTTTAAAACTTTAAACTTACCAGCTTATAAACACGGACTAAGATGTCTTAGTATATCTTAGTTTGTGGTCGGTGCTTATAATTATCGATATCAGCTGAAGAGTTATCAATGAGAACTATTGATAGTAGGTACATTGATAACACTGATAAAGTGATAATGACAAACGTGGTGGACGGTGTTTCTTGTTATAGTTGCTTGTAATTCATGATTATTTTTAATTTTCCGAATTTTTTTCGATCTCAAGACGGATATAGTGATGTTTGATGACAAAATGAAAACTGTATCGGAAAGTGTAGATGCGTCGTCAAATAATACCGACGATGTTTCACTTGACCAATTAGTTCTTAACAAACCAGAAAAACGACCACTTAATGAAGAATCTGAAGGAAATTTAGATAATAATATCGAAGAACGAAAAAAAAGTAAGATCAATGACGACGATGACATCGAAAATAATGGCCAACTTACAACGTCAAAGAGACAGATTAAAAAATTACAAAAACATCAAAAATGGTTGGAGCAAAAAGAAAAACGAAAGTAAAATGTTAATTAAATATGTTATTTTATAATTTCCTATTTATTCAATAGAGTAATGCAGACAATTGTGTATTTTACACTAGAGAATTTAATAAAGAAAAAAAACAAGAAAAAAAGAAATGGAAAGCACAAATGAGAGAAGCTGGTATAGAAATACAAAAAATAAAGACAACAAAAATGGCAGAAAGTACATGTAAACAGCGTATTGTGTTGGATATGTCGTACGATGATATGATGTCAGATAAAGTAAAAATGATTTTATATATATTTAATAATAATAAACAATAATTATAGTTTTTAATACATTTTTTTTTTTGTGATCAGGATTTATGTAAATGTTCTAGTCAAATATTAAGATGTTATTCTGTAAATCGTAGAATGGAAAATCCTATGCAATTATACATTTGTAGTTATGAAGGAAAAATAAAAGAGACTATGGCTAAACACAATGGATCTGAATTTTGGGATGTATGTATAATGGTTATTGATTAACAATAAATATTTATATTCAAGTATCTAATTTAAAACAAATAAAAGCTTAAAAAAATTATTGATTATAAAAGACAAATGGTAAAATATTGATTTGGTATTGAAATAACAGTTGATTAATATTGGGTATGCCCACATTCCACACATATTTTTTTTTGAATTATACTTGTGTTAAGTTTAAACAATTATATGTAATAGAAACCTTTTAGGAAAAAAAAAAAGAGGGCAGAGTAGGTAGTTTTCCACCACATAGCTTTTTAACGTTTTTTTTTTTTCAACTATTTTGTTATAATAAATTAGGTATTTTGATTAAAAAAAATCTATTATATATAAAATGTATGCTGAGAATTATTTACCTTTAAAATTGTTATTATAATCACTAGAGTCCGGAAATTGAGGATATAAAAATCTTTAAAAATTGCACTAAAAAAAAAAGTGTTGAAATGACTCAATAACATTAAAAAATCATACACGTATAAACTAAGAACCCTACATTTTATATAAAAAAAAAAAAAATGATGTAATATAATAGATGTATATTATTGTGGGTTAAAATATCTTATATTTCTGTCTGTCCAACATTTTTTTCAATTTTATTATTAAAAATTAACATATTATGCACAACTATTATAGCTCAAACTTTAAGCAAGAGAATGTAAATCTACAACAATATATCTACAGCAAGTAGAAAAATGAATAAAATGCATTAAAATTTTTTTAAAGAAAATTTCAACCTTTTAACTGAGAATTACACAAAAAATGTAAAATTCAATTTGTAACATTGAATTCTGTGTGATAAAAAGACAAATTTCTATGAAGACAAGCCTTGAATAAAAAAATTAGAAAAAAATATGCTAATGCTTGCTTATAATTCTATATAGGTAACAACTACAATATGCTAAAATAAATCAATGATATATAATGTATATCATATAAAATATGAGAATGTCTTCTGGACAAATTTAAAACAAATATTTTTCTCTATAGAACAATAAATAATCTACAAGAAGTACACTAGGTGAAAATGTTTTTATAATTTAAACCTGATTTTCATTTATCAATTGAAATAATATATTGTAATATCTACTTTTTATTTATTGATTTATAGATAAAGTATATGGAAGACTCGTATGACAAAGTATTCAAAAAAGAAGAAATTGTATATTTGACCAGTGAGAGTTCAAATGTTTTGGAGAATATAGACGAAAATAAAGTGTATATAATTGGAGGTTTAGTCGATCACAATGCATTCAAAGTAAAATAAATGAAACTATTAATTTGTTGTCAAAATATTTAAACTGTTTATTTTCACTAGGGAGCAAGTTTAGAAGCAGCTGAAAATTTAGGTTTAGCTCATGCTCGATTACCTATTGACGAGAATATCATGATGAAAACTAGGAAAATCTTAACTATAATTCATGGTAATTTCATATAAATAAATACCTACTATATTTAAACAATATCAAATACCAATTTAATATATTTCATCTGTCATGTTCATAATTGTTACTTATGTAAGTTACTTCTTTGTTAATTATTACTAAAATGTTGATAGGAAAAACACTAAAAACTTATTTAAAAAATTTATAGTATAATTTGTATAGAGAAAACTGTATATAATTTTAATATTTCTCCAATTTTTCTTATATATTATCAAAAAATTAAAGTCCATTGTGTACAACATGCACTTATTTCGCATTAAAAACCAGTAGCAACAATGTCTTAGAAATTTAGTCAAGCAAAATAGATATCAAGAGGCATCAATAACTAAATACAGCATAGTTTATGTTTATGCCCAAAATTATGTTTTTATTTCTATGATGAAGTATTAATTTGGTTTGGCAACCCAACTTTGGCTCAAAATGAAATAATCCTGTGCTTAATCTTCAGACGGTTGCGCGCACAGTATTCACACCGCCTTTAAGATAAAATTACTAAAGTCATTAAAAATTCAGTGCATCTTTTCGGCACTTCTTGGTATTTTCTAATAACTAATTTAGATAGCATGGTCGATATAGCTTGAATTCATTCTAACAAGCATTTATTTATTAACTTAATTTGGATAAAAACATGAATGGTGTAATTATCGTTGCATTCCTGCCTTAAGATTAATTACTTAAAAATCAAAGATGCTTCAAATTTTCACTTGATAGATAACTCATTACAAGGAATGGTGGAGATTAATTATAATTAGTAATTGATAACCATATTTTACCATTTTAACAGATTTTGGAAGATATTAAATTTAATTATTTAATATTGAAATAGTTGTATTTATTTCTCTAAAATAATAGTGTACATTAGGTTTGAGGTTTGAGATTAAATAGTATTATATTAATTCCATTATTATTAATAATTATCTAATATAAAGTTTATGATTATCAGTTTATGAAATTATATCGAAAGTCGTTTCTGGTGTGTCATGGAAAGAATCATTTATGGATACTTTACCAAAAAGAAAAATGTTCTCAACTTGGGACAATGTAGACAATTTGGACCATGAAAATTGTTCTTTAAGTGATAAGCAAGATGAAGAAAATAAAAATTCTACTTAACCAAATACTTGAATAAATATTGTATAAAAATAATTCTATTTATTAGGAAAAAAGAATTATATTTTTTATAATTTTCTAAAGTTTATTATTTCACTGAAATAATTTGGTATTAAAAGAATGTCATAAATGTATATTTTATTTATCTACTTAAACCACTCATTTTTTAAACCAAAACAATCTAGTTAAAATTGGTTCCTAGTAATAATACAACAACCTGTGGTATGCATTACATTACATAATTTATAACTTTGTAAGGAAAAAAATATGAATTTGAATGTTATTGAATATAACAGAAATCTAGCAGTCGTTATTAGAATAACCGAAAACAATGCCAAAATTTAAAAACTTTAAAGAAATATTTCTAAAATTATAAATAACATAAAATGTTACTCTAACAAAATGTGGTAATTATTTAACGTGAGTATTGGTAGCTTTGTCTGCTAAGAAGCATTAGAAACCTAACTAAATAAGAAGTAGGTGCTTAAAATAAAATCAGTGGGATTTAAAAAGGTGATTCGTTTTATACATAAAAAAAGTAAGTGAGGGTACTTAAACCATAAATAAATAGGTGAGTCAAATGATTTCGCCAGATTCACCCGTGGCATATTATAATGGCGTAACCAGGATTGATTTTTTTTTTTTTTTTTTTGTAGGGGGGGTGGAGGTTTATAATTTTCAAAAAGTTGACACTGCTCATAGGTAGACCATAAACTGTTGCAGGTGAGTATTTTGAAAAGTAGGTAGCCACCTATATAATATACAAAGTAATTTAGTTTATATAACTATAAATCAATACAAACAAAACACGATTTTGAGTAGAGTTATATTGTTACATAAGAAATGTATTTTTCCTTGTTATCTAGGTAACCCAGAAATCAACAAAAATACATATACTATTTTAGAGGGGTCGACTAGTTTTACTATAAGTTTTATTTTTGTTGTAGTCTAGACAACTTTTCGAAAAGAAATTTTTTCTAGACGTGGTACAATGTTCAAAACATTTTGAACTACGAAACCCTCGTATTTATAAATATTTTAATTTTCTGAGTTTTTTATGTTGGAGATACTTTGAGGAAAAAATTGTTGGACTAAAACGAAATTATAGAAAATTTAATAGGAGGTCCATTATAAGTGGTGCTTAGAGGTCAAAAAAAATTGAGTACAATGTATTTTTTTTTAGAAAAGTTTTAAAAATCAAATTTTGACGAAAATCGTAAATATTATGGTCTTTCAAAACATCGGTTTTCTACAACCAAACTCTGCTCAGAATCGTTTTTCGTTAGAAAAAATTAATCGTTGATCGTTGTTGACAGATATAAATTCAACAACTACCTATGTATCCTACCTTCCCAACTTCCCACCTACCACGGGAGTACGGGACTGCCTAATTTATTGAACTGGGGCCACTGATTACTTTAGCGCTACCAGTGATTTTATTTGACGTCAGAATAATTTTGTTTAAATATTGAAATTTACACGGCTATTACAACCTAATCCTAATTTTTCATTAAAACCATTTTTTTAATAAATTAGAATAATGAATATGCGTAGGTAAGTGTATGTGCCAATGATTTCACTTTTCAATTAAGAGTTTACAAATTTAGTCAACAGATAACATTGTAAATTGAAGGTCTGCATTGCGACCATAAAGTAATTTTTATTTATTTATATAACGAGTAATGATAATGATATTCAATAATACCTGTCGGCGTCGCAGAAATATCGCCTAAGTATCTACCTAAAAACATTACCCAAAAATTATGAGATTTTGTATGCGTGATGAATTCTATCGTATTCAAGTTAAAAATTGCCCCCTTTAAAGTCCATAGGCGCAATTAGGGGTTTTTAGCAGTTTAAAATTAGCACCCTCAAAAAAACAAATCAGGTTTTTCATAGCAATGACAAAATATAATATTCATGCATTTCACAGTTAACAAACAGAACAAAATACAGGTTTCTCACAGACAATGCACGTGTGTATGAAAAACAATGTTAAAATAATCATGATAAATTTGATATAAAAAATTCTAGATGAAATGTGTAGTTTAATATTTAATGTGTAATTCTGAGCGGAGTTCAGTTAGTGGTGCTTTGTCAAAAATATATGATATATGTCATTGTATAGTAAAATAATACCCATAATAGATTTCGACCAAATATAAAAAGAGTTGACTCTGGGGATGGGAGCGGCCGCTGTTGTAGGTGAGAAGTTGGGAAGGTAGGATACACAAGGTTATTCCATTTATGTAAGCAACGAGAAACCATTGCTGACGAAAGACGATTCCGGATGCAGTTCGGTAATACATAATTTGAACTGCCGTATTTTTTTTCTTGCGATTTTCGTTTAAATTTTGTTTTAAAACGGTTGTTAAAGTTGTCCAATATAAGTATTATTATCAAGTTTAAAGTCTCTACGTGTATTTATAATCGAATTACAGCAAAAAAAAACTCGCAAAAATGAAAATTCCTCAAAAGTTCAAAAGTGGCTTAAAAGTTTTGGCGATGGTACCGTAAAAATGTAAACCGAAAAAGCAACGAGAAGATGTCTCGTGATTTTTCGGTTAAACCGTTTTTTCCGATAGAAAACGCCGTCCGCGTTTCTATAAAAATAACGAAATCGTGAAATCGTTTTTTTCCCGCTTGAGTGCTTTTATTTAAAACAAACGACCCTTTTTGAGTACCGTCTAGACGACTTGAGCTTTCGGAAAAGTTTCCACGCGTAAAATTCGGAGCACGTTTGCTAGGACGAAACGCGTCCACAGACCAGAAGAGGAAAAATAAAAAAGAAAGAGAGAAATGAACAGCGCTGTGAAACCGACAGATGAACCCGGCCGCGCGCGGAATCTGAAAAAACTCGGATCCAAACGAAACACGTACACCGAACGCCGGAAATACAATAGTCACCTTGCCGGGGGTTCGATTTGATATAAAAAAAAAAAAAAGATCCCGAAACGTTGCCCGGCGCTTTTCGCACGGTTCCGGTTGGCTGTCGCATCCGCCAGTCAATCGTGAACCCGACGGGAGCCGCTCGTTTCGCGTCTTCTCGTAGCGCTCAGTGGCGCCTCAGTGTCCGTCGTCCGAAAACGCCTCTGCGCCGCCGACGAATCGGCGTCCCCGTCCGGCGGGCGCTCGGAACGCGGGACGCAGTAGCGAGCGTGATTTGTCGTCGCTGTTACGTTTGTCCATTGAATGCGCGCGGCTCGTTTCGGGAAATTCCCGCGGCGCGCAATATAGGGCCGTGCACGCGCGCGCCCGTATACGCACCCGAGCGCCTACGGGCGTGGATACACTAATGCCTGTGCGCGTGCATGCCCGAGACGGACAAACAATACGTTGTGGTACATGTCGGAAGGACAGAGCGAAAAGAAAAAAAAAAAAAAAAAACGTAAAAACAAAAAAAAACCAGAACCTAGGCGAAAAAAAAAAAAAAACAAAAACAAAACCGTCGTCGCCGGTACGGACCGTAAAGGGCGTTTACACCGTGGGAACGGTGTGAAAAAACCGTATCCGTCCGACAATACGAAAATCGCCCATTATGAAAACGGAAAAAAAAAAAAAAATTTAATAATAATAATAATAAAAAAATCCGTCTTGCATGCCTCCTATAGGTGCAATCTGTACGCGCGGACGAGCAATCGACATTGTAATGTAACGCGCCGTCGTGTTATTATTATATTGTCGTCTGTCGCGCACGGAGCACGCGCGTAACACAGCCGCCGTCTAAACAGATAATAACAATAACAATAATAATAATAATAATAATAATATTGTGTTTATTGAATTGTACAGCGACCGAAATGAGAATACGAGCCGCGCGCACGTACCTACCGTTTTACACTCCGGCGACGGGCGGCCGGCCGTTCATTGTGAAGTCGTGAAGAAACGGCAGCCGCCGCCGCGGTCGCCGGCCGTAATCGTGTACAGGGTGGACCGATGGAAAAAATGAAAAAAAAGGACAGCCGAATGCGGACAGGCATATTGTAGGTATTATATAGGCACCGACGACCCGCTGTAAGCCCTTTGTATGGGTATTGGGAGCCACGAGTTTCTGTGTTTGTCTTACACGCGTGAAATATAGGGATTCAGACGCGTTTTATTTCTGACGTACCGGTTGATCTAGAGAAGCGATACGAATTCTAAAAGCGGATTGTTGTTGTAGATGCAGAGTAACATATTGTATGACGAAATATTCCAGCGTGAGTGATGATAGCACGAATGTGCACTGACTAGCACGACGACGGCACTTTTCCGGAATGGGAATTCGACCGGGGAGGTACTTTAAGGAGGTAATTTTTTTGATTTTCTCAGGGGGAAAATGGGAAACGGGAAAATAGGTATAACATTGAAAACAAAATATTATCAAAGCAAATGTTTCATGCATATGCAATTATTTTACCGTAATGCGACGTATTATATATTGTTGATAAACCACCAAACCCTATCAACTGATCTCCACTCAGAATCGTTTTTTCGTTAGCGATGGTTTATCGTTGCTTACTGATAAACATTAAATTGCCGTCTGTATCCTATCTTCCCAACTTCCCACCTACAACAGTGGCTGCACCCTTCACCATTATCCCAGCGTTTTAGGTTTATTATGACCGTCAACATTTAATCAATCAACTTTTATGAAAATTCCTTAGCTGGGCGAACATAGTACAGAAACGATAAAATTTAAAAAAAAATAAAACCATTGGAATCCTGTGATCTTCAAATCCAAAATTATCATCATTATGGAATTTCACGCAAAATGTTTATATTACACGTTGCACGAACAATTACTGCGATCTATCTGCGTACAAGAAATATTATAATTTTCTTCGTCATATTTGGCGCTATCGACGGTAGGTATTTTTTTTTTACCGAATTGCCGCGCTGCAGACGCGGGGGATGTCCCGTGCAATGGTAAGATCGGTTTAAGCATGCAACAACTGCGAACACTTTGTCACTGGTAAAATTTAATTTCCGAAATGTACTAGGTATTTATACTTCGGACAAATTGCAGTATACG